TCTGGGGGAGATGCAGCGCCTGCCCTCGGTGGATAGCACGCAGAGTGCCTGCGAGCCGCCACGTCTGGTGCACACGGTGGCCACCGTCAGTGCGCCCCAAACGGAGGATGCGGCCGCCAAGGAGCGGCGTCGTCTGCTGTTCGCCACGCGACTGGGCTCCGGCAGCCAGGAGCAGATCTTCTCCACGCAGTTCAGCATCTCCAAGACGGAGAGCCAGTCCAGCCAGCTGTCCGAGCAGGTGCTGGAGTCCGGCAACAATTCAACGGCCTCGGACGCGCCACCAACCACCGCCACGGCCACCGCCACCGCCGACGGACTGCAGCGTCAGGGCACGGTCATTCGTCGCTCGGAGTTGAGCTCCAGCGTGCCACCGCCGCCGCCACCGCGTGGCATCTCCAGCTCCGAGGAGGAGCAGCCGCCGGAGAGGAGCCACCTGCCAGCGGCAGTCGTGATGCGCTCCAAGCACAGATCGCGTCCAACCTCCGAGGATGAGGCAGCCCCAGCGGCGGATCTGCGCCATTCGCGTTACCTCGAGAATTTCGATGTGCGCCGCAAGCTGCATGAGAACGTGCCCCCAGAGGGGAAGGAGCTGCGACGCAGGCAGCAGGAGGGTGCAGCCATTCCGGTGCCACGGAAGCCCAAGCGGCAGAGTGTCCCCGAATCCCGACGTGAGTGCGGCAGGAAGCAAGGGAACAGGAAATGCCATTAAAGCTTTTCTCTTTTCTCTCCCCCAGGTGAAACCTCGCAGAGCTCTGGCGGTGCCACGCCCACTACACCAACGCCCACAGCCACACCCACAGCCACAGCCACAGCAGCTCCCTGCACACCTGCAGCTGCAGTATCCGCTGGGGTCAAGGCAGCAACTCCAACTGGAAAGGGTTCCGGACTGGATACACCAACGCCCACGGCCAGCCCCGAGCCAATGCTCGCCTCACCCCTGGCGGAGCGGCGCTTGTCGTTGTCCACGGACGAGCACGAGCCCGTGGAGTCGTCGGAGAGTGAACGCGACTCGGACATGGCTGGCAGCTCGTCGGTGACGACAGCGGTGGCCGTGGGCGGTGAGGGTCAGGGTCAAGGTCAGGGTCAGGGCAAGCGGCACCACTTTCCGCGCAACGTTTGCGTCATCGAGGAGCACGAGAGCACCGGCCTGGTGTCGCAGGAATCCTTCGACGATGAGCTGCCGTACATACCGACAACGCTGCCGGAGGAGCGGGCGCAGGGTGTGCCCCTCATACCGATGAAGGAGCGGGCCAACATGGAGCTGAAGACATGTCCCGTGGACAGGCCACGCTCGACAACGCCGCTGAATCCCTCGCACTTGGAGGAGTACTGCACGGGCATAATGACGCCCCAGGAGGCGCCACATGCGGCAGTCCATGAGCTGGACAATGGAGCAGCAGCTGGAGCTGGAGCTGGAGGTCTAGGAGGAGGAGGAGGAGGAGGAGGAGCTCCTGTGAGAGGAGAAAAGCTGAGAATCAGTCTGCCGCGCAAGGAGTCGGTGGGTAAGGAGGGCAGGCCCGGGCCGGGCCAGAGTGCCAAGTCCCCGCGACGCATCTCCAATGCCAGCGGCAAGTCCTGGTTCGAGTTCGCGGAGGAGGGACTCCGCGCCAACAATCTGGAGCGCAAGGACTCCAGCAAGCAGTTGCTGCCAGCTCAAGGTGCAGTTCCCGCACCAGCACCCGTTCCCGCACCCGCACCCGCACCCGTTCCCGCACCCGTTCCAGCTCCAGCCTCGACTGGCCTGGAGGAGCCCAAGCCAAAGGCCTCCACACAGCGTAAGCTCTCGGGCCACTGGATTGACTTTGAGAACATTCCGGAGAAGCGGAAGCCAGCCAAGCGGATCACCACGCTGCCCAAGGAGACAATTGCCGCCAGCAACACGGCCACCACCAGCTCCTCGTCGGCCTGCGGCAGTGGCCACCGCTCCGGTGGCTCCCTCTCTGGCTCTGGCTCGGGGCATAATCATCATCATCATCATCATCAGCATCAGCATCAGCACCAGACGCGGCCTGGCTCGCAGGAGGTGAACACTGCTGGAGCCAGCGACAAGCTGCACTACAACTACGTGAAGCCGGAGGACTGCCAATGCGAGTGCCACGAGGCGGAGCGCGGTGAGTCCTCCACGGCCACGATGGGCGCTGGTGACAGCAGCACCGGCACGGGCACGGGCACGACCAGTGAGTCGCTGGCCTCTGTGGATCTGCTGCAGCAGGGTGAGGATATGCTGCCACTGCTCGAGCCCGAACCACAGCCAGAGACAAGGTAAACGGAGACAACCGATCGATCCCATCCATTGCGAGTTCTAATCCTTGTTGCTGCACCTTTTGCCATTGCAGAGTCTATGCGGACGAGGAGTTGCCTGCTCCAATGCTCCGACACGCTGGCAAAAGTAGCGCCGTAGCTCGGGTAAGTTGTGGCCCAAAACAGTCGTGAATAATCCAAGAATCAAACTAAACCCAAAACTATACGCAGACGCAAATGGAGGAGTTTCCGCGACGTGACATTGGCTCGAGTCCAAGGAATCGCAAATTTCCGGATAGAAAGTAAGAAGGGAAGTTTGCTCGCTCATGGTAGATCTTCAGGGTAGTTACATTCCGTAATATCTTTCTACTTGTATACATTCAAATAAATATACTATAAGTAAGTAAACTAAACTAAGGGCAACCAAGGTGTGTGTCCTCTTGGCCCATATCCTCTGAATGTACCTCAAGCAGTGTGGTTGTTATAAGCAGACGACGATACGAATGTGTTTCCTTTCGATTCGATTAGCACATACAAGAATCCACTAACTCTATGTACTACTCCGACATATAACAACACACACACACACACACACACACACACATATTGTATAGGGTATCTTCTGGGGCAATGGATTTGTCTTGTGTCTTGATAGCAACAATTAGAACTTCACTTGATAGCAATCTTGAGGCTGGTATTATCCCTAGTAACTTTTTCGCTGGCAATTTGTACTACTAACTACTACGAGTATATGTGATCTCCCCCCATAAAAATGTTGAATCAAATTGATCAGATTATAATGCAAGCAAGAAAGATATATGTATGTAGAGCTATAAGAGAGAGAGAGAGAGAGAGAGAGAGAGAGAGATCTACTTGAGATCCCTGGGGTACCCATGGAATGTACCCGCACTCAATATTATTAGCCTGATTCGTAGCCTTTAGTTAGTTAGTTGTACATATATTTCGTTTGTATTTATATTCACATTTATGGTATGGTTTTTTGTTTGGGTTTTGCGTTGAAGAATATCTCACCAAATAATTGACAACTATTGTATGGGTTTACTTTGTACTCTATATTATATATAGCCAATGAAACTGCCAGCACACACACACACACACACACACATTTTGGTTTGGTTGCCATTTTTGGTGGCATGCTACAGCTGTTGGAAACCGGTTGATTAACACCCAACAGAAGGTTTATGCGCAAAGCATGATTATCACGATTAACCCTCTCACCGACCATTTGCTTCGACAAACTATTTGCTAGGGAAAACATACTTATTAGGAAACCAAATGGAAACCCCCTTAGCTAGTCCTTAAAATAACTAAAAATTGAACTTAGCGGACAACGGACATTCATTGAATTGAGGCAAATACATTAAGCAAATAAAAGTGAATATAATATTAAATAGAACATGCGAGAATGGGTAAGGGAATGGAAAAGGAAAAGCAAAAGGAAAAGCTATAGCTAAATTATACAATAAATTGAATAACATTGAAAATGTTCGAAAGATACAAGAGGGAATAAGCAAGCTACAATAATAAAACGACAACTGTACACGAGTTTAGCGAAAGAATTTCAACATAAACACACACGACCCTCTCTCTCTACTAAGCATACAAATGCTGGTAGCAGTGGGACTCTTTTTTTTTTTTTGTTGGGCAGCGAAAGTGGTTGAGCACAAAATGCACTGGAAATATATAGGAGATACTTGCGAGTACCAGTAAGTACCAGTAGAGAGGTAAAGATCTTAAGAGTTCATATACATATACATATATATATTCATATAAATAATTACCCGTTGGCACACGCAGAAGTTCTTTCCCTTTTCCGAATCTTGTTCTCAAATTTTTGAATATTTCTATTTGTTTTTTGAATACACTTTTTTTGTATTAAATAAAAAAACGAGCAAAGAAAATGTTGTTAAAAATGCATTTAAATTGAAAGAAAACAAAAAGCAAAAGTACATAAATAACGAGAGAGAGAGTTGAACGTTTAAATAAGCAAAGAAATAATATGTATTAAAAATTGTTACCAAAATTTAAGCATTCATAGAAACCAAGAGAAAAGCAAAACTAATCATTTAATAAATATATATACCATATGTATGCACATTCATTATTTAAAGATTTCGTATATAAATCCGTACAGGAAAAAACCAAAACTAAATCAAATGAAAACGGAATGCAAACAGACATTAATTGAGAAATATTCATTAAAGTGGCAAAAAATCACATATAAACTCATCATAAATGTTTTTTATTCGTTTTTGTTTTGTTTTGGTAGGAATTTGGAGCTGCACTCGTTTCGGATATTGACATTTAACGGTATTTGGAGCTATCTTATCGCAATCGGAGGGACACTAGACGCTACGTTGGCAATCGATCATGATTTTGGGGCTATTTAGCATGCATATAGGGCTCAGGCCTAATGCCACGTAGAAGGTAAGGTAATGTCATCGTGATTAGGCACCGACGTCAATGTCTTGAACTTCCGCTGTCCGCTGTCTGCTGTCCGCTGTCTGCTCTATGTGGCTTTGCCTCAGATCACGATTAAGAGCCACGTATAAACGTTGCAAGCAACCCAATCACGCAAACACACACACACAGCCGCCCATTCTGACACACTGACACGCACTCAAATGACCCGCTCTCAACTGCGCAGGCGCGCTCTCAACCTATCGAGAGAGCAAGAGCAGCAGCTCTCTGGGACCACCAGGCGGTCGCTCAGCGTATAAGTATCAGTGGCGGGAAGCTAACGGCTTCAAACCGAAAACAACAGGCAAGCGGTAAACGCGCGAAACGTCACCACCTATAAATTCTACATTCTCCATTCTCTGCATTCGATATTCGCTTTCCCGTTGGAACCGTTGCATTCGAACTGCAAACAAAGCGCGCGTGGCAAAACAAATAAAAACGGCCCACACAAAAGACACAACTGAAGCGATTCGTTTACGGTTTTTATTATTTTTTGAGCGTGCGTGATCGAAAGTGAGAAGAAAGTGCAGCGACAATGGCGTTCATGATGCCGGTTATGAAGAACAATTATGATATATACAAGGACACGCGCTCCCGCAAGACCTCCGAGTGTTCCAATGCGAGCAGTAACGGGACCACGGCCGTCGGCAGTGCCTTGGGCACACCGACAGCGGCCACCGGTAACCAGCAGCAGCAGCAGCAGCAGCGACGCCGCAAGGTGTCCGAATGCAAGTCCGAGAGTTTCGCCACCTCCCCCTCACACGGTCAGCTGGGTGGTGGTGGCAGCGGTGGTCACCGCATGCAAATGCAGCGGTGCCAGAGTTCGCGTGCCTTCCCGCGCAACGCATCGCGGAGCTCGAATGGATCCATGATGCTTATTATGTCGCCAACGCGGTCCAGCCCCCTCAGCCGTACGCAAACGGCCTCGGCCCTGGAGCGCCAGGCAGCGGCGACAGCTCAAAGTCAGAACCAGAATCAGCAGAGCCGCCAGCAGAGTAACGGTAATGGTAGCGATGTGAATGCGTCAGCGACCGCCAGCAACGATTATACAAAATTCCACTTGCGACTTGTTGACAAGTTGCGCAAATCTTTCCGCAAGGACAACGGCAAGCGCTCTTGAGAGCGGGCCCATCAGCAGCAGCAGCAGAACAGCAGTATCAACAACAACAACAACAGCAACAACAACTACAATGCCAGCGGTAGAGCTGTACGTCGCCCCAGCCACAGCAAGAACAACAGCAACAACCACGACTGGGATGAAATAGAAGCCGCAGCAGCAGAGGACAAAGAAGGAGAAGCAGTACCTGTGCGAGGGGGAGGAATGATCAGTCGATTAGGACGACGCTTCAGGCGCTACTATAAATTCTTCTCCCACGCCAACGCTGTGCCGCCGCAGCTGGCTTTGCAACTGGAGCTGGACAGAGAAGCGACCAGCAGCTCTGTCGAACAGCTAACAGGCGGCGGCAGTCCCTACCGTCGACGTAACCGTCGACGCAGCAGCATCGGCAGCGCCAGTCGGCTAAAGATGCGTGTCCGCCGCTCCACCTCCTCGCCAGATTAAGGAAAGGTACAGCAGACAGCGGCAGTGCAGCAGCAAACGAATGCAGCGAAGGTAACACAAAGAGAAAGAGAACAAAATGTGAGTGGAGGAGAGTGGATCGGCGGGAGACCGATGCGAGTGAGTGAGTTGGCGATGGTTGGAGGGCGGTTGTTTTGCTGTAATAAATAAATTTTAAACACTTTTTTTTTGTATTCGGTGTACAAATGAAAACCATAACTGTAAATGTAATTTAAATATTATAATATGTATGTTTGTACGTGTTTATATGTATGTGTGTGGGGCAAGGCTTCCAAGTAGTGGTAATATGTAGATGACCCCCCGCCCACGCATTGCGACGTTGCTTTGATACAACTGAAATTTACACAAAATAAATTTGCAACTGCCAAATTGCATTGTATAACAGTATAACAGTATGAAAAAAAATCCACGCAAACACACACAAAAAATGACAGTACAACAGATGTTCGATCAAGAAATAATATCTACTATTTACCGTTAAATGTTGTTATTTGGATGTACATATAAGTACACAACAGATTACATAATCTGCAAGCGCAAATATTGACAATACATATATGTAAATACACACACAAATTGTATCAAAAGTGATGATAACATTTCTTGGATAAAACTGACAAATGAATATTTTCAATTTATTTTATGTAAAGTTAATTAAGAACCTTCGAATTCTAAGTGTACTTCGACCATTTGTAAGTGTAGATATTTTTGTAATGCAGTTTTGGGATGCACTTGCAGATCGCTAAAAACAGACTTGAGAAATCATTTATATCCAAATTGTGAATACTATATACAATATCTATATATATACCTAACTGTACTTAAACAAAAACAAAAACAATTAAAATACATTTAAATTTAATGCTATTATCATTTTTTTTTTGTCTTAGGTTATAATATTTGTAAAATAAAAGCAAAAACAGAAACAAAAAAAAAAACAAAAACTTACACAAAACGATAGAAAGAGAGAAATCTTTATATGTATACACGAGAGAGAGTGAGAGATCGATAGAAAACCAAAAATAAAACACAAAATAAAATCAGCTAAAATGGAAACTATTTAATTATATTAAGATGTCAGCTGCAGTGCCAGCAGAGGTGGGCCACGTTCTAGTACGTACTACATAACGGCCTGTGGCACAGCCAAGTGCGCATAAAATGCGTTGACAGTCGAGTGGCAGTGGCAGTGGCAGTGGGTGAAGCTACTCGACACCGTAAATTAGACGCTGCTTCACGCTCTCCCAATGCACACACACCCATGTACAAAGGTATATCTAAATTTTCCCCATCCCATAGGTAGGCCACCTGCGCGCCCTGCCTGCTCTTTGGCATGCGGAAGCAAAGGCAGCAACAGCCGCAGACTACAACCGCAAGAGCGCCACACAGCATGAAACTGCAACAAAAATCAATACAAAATGCAACAAAATGTTACACAAAAAAATGGGTTAAATCACGCATGCTCACCCGTGAAAATATTGTACCCTTGCGGCACATTCTCTTCAGTTATAATTTCATTAACAAACTTTAGTAGTATGGATTGCTGAAAGAAAGTTCCTCCCTTTAAAAGATCAATCAACCTTTGCTAGGCAACTTGCAGATCAGAAATAGATCAAGTTTTATGGCCTTTAAAGTGCTCTCTTCTCACCTGATACCCTGGGAAACTTTTTTGTATTAATCAATTTAATCAAATGCCAGTAAAAGTTGCGAATTTCTCGTACTTTGATGAAACATCTGCGAAATAGCACTTCATGGAATTTGCAAAGGGGGGTTCCTGTTCACCTGTTCTAGTCGGGTATGCCCGATAACTGGGCGTCATGGTGGGGCGGCGGTAACCTTGACCTTTGGACAGACAGCTACTAAATATATGGCCCGAAACCATGTGGAATATGAGATGCGGCATGTGTCACGCCCGCACAGCCGCAGACCCGCATGGGGCAGATGAGTAGACTTGGCCACTCGACTCGTAGCTCTGATAAATATTAGGCCCGGGGGTATGTACATTTGCACTGGCACAAACAAACAAATAAGAATACGAGTACGAGTACGATACATTTGTTCATAGATATTCACGACGAAAACGTTTAGCATTCAATTTCAATCAAAACAAAAGTCCACAGAGATTCTGAGAAGGGGGACTGGACTTTCTCAGTCTGTGTGTCATATACGATATATTTATTTATTTATGCATATACGATCCATTTTTGATTAAAATTCGAGCGCAGCAAATTAGTGGAAACGGTCGAGCCATGACCATGGGACAATACTAGGATGTCACTCTATAGCTGTTGCGCAGATCGATCGATTTTGATATGGTTTAGTTCTTATCTTTGAGTTGCTGTAACTGAAGCACCTTAACCAGTTCGAGGCAGTTTTGTTCGTTGACTCTGTTGCAGTTTTTCAAGTTCACATGGCCATAAAGAAGATAAGCCAGATACGTATCTATGTACATATGTATGTAGGGTTATTGGTTTATAGATTCATAGTGTCCGCTTCTTCATTTACGAGCGTTTGGTATGGGAATAGTTGTTTTGCGTATCAATTGAATGATTGATTGGCGAGCAACAGTTGTACACTTGTACACATAAATAGATCGGCAATGCTTTCCACACTTGATAAACAGCATCAGCTCCATGTAGCTGATGATCTGGAGTACACCACTTCGATTTCAATTACAGCGGAAAGCTCTGAAACACATCCAGGAACGTTATAATTAATCTGGATAGAGCCTGCCAGTGCAAAAACAGTGTTCAGTGTGCAGTGTGCAGTGTCCACGGCTTCCAATTCCAACAATTACAGCAAAATGTGGTAGATGCAAAGCACACACCTCAGTTACTTCCAGGAATACAAAATTACGCATTTGACTAGTACGGTAAAGCCAATCAAAACTACTTTCCAGGAACACAAGAGCCATGAAATCAAAACCACGTTCAAGAGACTTCCAGAAATGCACCAGTATGAATCTGACATGGGCTGAAAGTTATCGCCTCTGGCAGAGAGAGATAGAGCCATAAAGGATGTGGAAATAAACGAAAACAGGTTATCTGTACTCTTCCATTGGAATTATCGCAGTTTCGCATTGGACAAGCATTCCAAGAAGATCTACTTTTGATTTCCTGCTCTAGTAATTTGCTGGGTTTTCAGATTCCTCTCCCCTTTCTAACTTTTGTTCTTGTGACTTCGCTGGCTGTTCCAGTCCGTTCCGCTCTTGCTCTTTGCTCGCCTCTCTCTCTTGGACCCTCTCTGCTTATTGCTGTTGTTGCTCGTTTCATCTTGCTCGTGCTCTTGCTGTTGTTCTCTTTCTCTTTGTCTTTGGCTTTTTGTTGTATTCTGTTTGCTAATTTACGAATCAGTTGAAGCTTGATTGGTCATCGGGAGCAAAAAAACTTCATAGAAGGGGGGCCTAGGGGCTATTGTGTGTTCTCTTATGCTGCTATGAAAGGCAACAGGTTTTCATTGGAACTACCACCCTCCGCCCTCCCCGCCCACATCGACTCAAACATCGCGCGTGCCGCATTCACGTTGATGCTAAATTGAACAGTTGTTGAACAATTCCCAGCTCGATCCTCTTTTGGTAGGCAATGCCACGGCCGCATGAGTGACCTTCCTCTATTTTCAGACTATTGTTGCTGTTTGCTATGGAAACGGGGGCAGAGGAGCTGCTCCTCTTTCTATCTAAAATCATTCAAATGCTCCACCTTCTATTTAATATGCCCTCTCCCCACAATTTTCGACTCCATGATGCTCTCTCATTATCTCTGTTCCCTTTTAATCCGCTCTCTTTCAATGGATTCAACGGATCTGAAGCCCTCTCTTTCAATATTCCTCTCTTTCCAATAGATTTACGTAGCTCGTTGCGGCTGGTCAGTTTCGCAGTTTCTGGATTATCTCTGGCGAAAAAAATAATTTTTGTATTTTGTGCTGCAGTCAGACATTCAAGTTGAATATAAGAAAGAGGCGATACGTGCCTCAGCGTCCAGAGTACAGTCGCCTCCTGCGCGCGTGTGTTGTGACAAGTTGTTTACTTTTGGTTCTTCTTCTCGTGTTTGGGTCGTTTTGGGCTGTTTTTGGCAGCGCATCCACTGATGATTATTCGCTCGAAGATCAAGGTCAGTCCCATCTAATCTCAAATCCCCACGCGCTTATATAACGCAATTATGTGTCCCAATTATGTGGCCCACGCCCACTCGGCCGCATTGACGTCTGTGGCGTAGGCGGCATGAGCATATTCGGGTGGCACTTTGATAACAAGCGAAGAGCAAAGCTTACACAATTTCTTTGACACAATTAAGCCGGTGTGTCGCAGGTGTATAGCCTGTGCATGTGGCGATGAGAAGCTAGTAGCATCCAAAGGAGATTAAGGCCGACTGCCGTAAGAGGATAAAAGAATGTTCGCGTATCGTGCACAAAACGGAAGCCACGCCACGGCAGACTGGTTTGTTCCTCCTCCAGCTGCAAGCCGGCAAAATAAATGCGCGAATGATGGTAATTTCCTGCAACATTTTTTCGCATTTGTGCATCGCATCGAGGCTCCTTGAAAGCCACAAGAGACAAAAGAAAATATCCTGAAATTAGTTCGCAAAGTTGAGGCTTGCATGAAACAATGTTTCAATGTTGGGCATTCATTTCAAATAAACTCTATGAAAATCAAATACAAAATTTCAATAGAAGTTAGACTAAGATTGAATTAATTTTCTCTTGAAATTCATAGCATTACATAGTAGCTGCCACACAGTGTTGCCATTACCAAGCAGTCTGTACAGGACACCTCCTGTGGGGCAAGCTAAAGCTGATAGAAAACAGAGCGACAAGTAAGCTAGGAAGTGCAAAGTGCAAAGTGCAAGCCGCAGCGAGGCAGCAGCGCCTTTTTCAATGCACAATACGAGTAGATGGGTGCCGACCCCTCAACTAGTGAGCGTGATAAGAGTGTACGAATCATACAGATGTGTGGTTTACGGGCTTAGCGTTGATCATCTGATCAGTTTCATTTACACTCTCCAAGGGTAATGTGGTGGATTTTCTTCACTTTCAACGTGTTGGACATTTCCTAATGATATTAAATCGATTTTTGAAAGCACAGACGGTGCTGTGTCGGTGTGAAATCCCTTCCTCTTTCCGTCTGAGACCATCTTCAATGCTTATCCCACACGAAAGCGAAAGAAACAAAACGAAACGTTCTAGCACTAACTGGTTCTGCATTGACAGCCTTCAGCAAGGGTCGCCCCGTCTTGTGGCCCGACAGTGGAAAATTCCCAAAAAAACAGAAGAGTCTCAAATACCCAGAGTACCCGTGGGGTGGCTGCTACTGCTCATCGATTTAACAGTGGGGAAACACAAGCGTGTGACGACGCGTTGTCCTGACCTAGTCCAAAGTTGCGCACTCTCTCGGCCCTACCGCCGCTCTCCAGCCGTTTTTTGATTGGGCCGACTCCTGCGCTCCGACCCTCTATGTGCCGACGAAATGTTAATATAAGGTTAGGGGCCTACGATTACTTAAGCTTATTTTATTGTGATGATTAATTGGGTTTTGTCATTAGCTTTGGTTTAGTTCTTATTTTGTTTCGTGCCCACTTTGTGCAGTGCCTCACCTTTGATTAATGCACCCTTATCCTGCCTCTCTCTCTCTCTCTCTCTGGTTTCTTCTTTCTTTTTTCTCAATTACACACTCTCTCTCTCTCGCTCTCTCTGTCTCTGTCTCTGTCTCTCACTGTGTTTTTCGCTCTTCCTGGCTGATGTTTGGCATGTGAAAACGCACGTCAGCCACCGGAAAGAAAATCACATAAGCCACCGCAAGCCCTCAAATAATGTGACCCCTGCGACTTGCTTTTCGGCCCGAGTCAAGGACATTCAACTCTGCTCTTTCGTCATTACCCGCTTTTTCTTTTTATTGTCGTTGTTGTCGTATTTTTGTTTTTGTTTGTGTTTGTGCTTTTCCCCATCGATTTTCGTGCGTGTTGCTCGACGGATTTCCCCCAAAATTACGAGGTTGGAGGTGCGAACACGGCCGGCGCTTGTTAAGAGACTTCAAAGCAAAGTGCAAGTCCAAGTCTAAGTCATAACCAGCCAGCCGGTGCTGGTGCGAATGAATTTTTCATAGTCTTGACCTTGTCAGCCAACGCACCTCTGTGATCCTCGGCAGGTGCTCTCGCGACCCATGGGGTCTTGATCTCCGAGCCGCACGCCACGAAAATCAGGTGACTCTACCAAGCGACCGATGCTCTCTTCGGGGGGAGAGAGAGATATAGAGAGAGAGAGAGAGACGTGAAACATCGTGATGCGAATTGGAATGGCCTCATTATGAGAAAGGGGAGTGGCGGTGTGCGAAGAACAGGCAAGGCAGGCCGAAGAAGGAAGCCACAAAAAGAGTGCTGCGCGAATGAGTGAGCAAAACAAACGTGAACAACAGCAGCGAGCAAGGCAGAATGCAAGAGAAAGGCAGAAGCAGCACCAATAAAAAGAACAAACTGGAAGCCGAAGCATTTGATACTCTTGCAAATCGGTCTGCAGTGATTATTTAATGATCTAATTTGGGTTTATAGATTTACGGATTTATGGATGAATAGTGGATCGTTGCTACGGTTATTTGTGTCTTTTTAAGTGGGAAACCTTTGCTGACTGCTGATCAATAGAATATTTGAATCAATGTTTGGGCTTATATTTCTGTGTGGCTCTAACACTGGAATACCTCTCTGCAGAAGAGTATACCAAAAATTTAACAAAGTGAAAGTTGAAGAGAAACACTCCAATTTATGGCCAAGCCGCATCTGCGGCACATGCAGCCGAAGCAGCAGCAGCAGCAGTGGCAGAGGCAGAGGCATGTTAATAACAGCAGACAGTGTCGAGGCAAACCGCCTCGAAACAAAACAAAAAAAAACATTTATTTTCAGGTTATTTTTTGACGTGTTAGCGGCTCAGACGGAGAGCCGTAAGCTTACAATTGGAGCCTACATTCAGTTGGTTAATATCAGGCCAGTCGTTTGGACGCAACGGCCAAGAAAAGGCACCACCAATCCATAAACATAAACAGAAGAGGCGATTCGAGGCGCTGCAGAGCGGAGCCAGCCACTTCCTAATCGATCGAGCAAACGAAAGTGGAAATGTGCGAAATTGCCACCTGAGATCACCTGAGCGAGAATCGTGTTGGCCAAAAGTCTCAGTTGGATCTGTGTTCCCATCATTGTCTCCAGTGCCAGCGATACGAAATATTCGGTAAGTCACGAAACCAGCGGCAGGTGGACGAGGTGTAGAGTAGTGGGGAAAGTTGGGTAATTTCCCGCACAAGAATGCGTCGAAAATGTCAATGAAAGTGGCGTCGAAATGTTGGTTCGGAATGTGGAATGGGGTTCTGCTCTGCTGGCCGACAATCAATATTTGAGCGCCACAAGTGATAATTGCTTTCATTCAAGCGTAATTCATTGAATTGGCCAGTCGGCAATGAGTGAAACAACAAAAAGTTGAAATAAAATTAAAGAACTTGCCGCTCGCATATAATAATCGATATAAAACGTTTTAGGAGCAGCTTTAGGTGATTTATTTTCAGACGTTTGGATTCTACTATAAAATACATAAATACAAGTGAAAACCCTATTAATGTTCTTCAGATTGGATATTGTGACGTGGTTTCGGACCATTAACCCAAAAAAAACATATAAACACACGATCCACACATGATCCACTTGAGATCCACAACCACTTCCATGCCCTTGCTTGTTCCCTACCCACGAAACAACAATTTTACTTTCTTTTCTCTCTTGTTTCCCCTCTCTCTGACACACAGTTAGAAGCCAACACACACACACGCACAGCAACACACTTGCATACATAGCCAGCAATGACGGAGGCTGTCACAGCCATTGGCGGAACAGGGACAACAGCACTGCCAGCCGGCTTCGATCCGACCGCAGAGGCGGTGGAGAAGACGCTCTGCTTTCGAGGATTCTGGGCGTGGTGCGTGCTCCTGCTGCTGATCGGGATCTGTGCACTGTTCGTTATGTGGCTGCTGCGCAAGTGCATCCAGGGCCCCGTCTACCGCAAGGCGAACCGCATCGATGGCAAGGTGGTGATCGTCACCGGCTGCAACACGGGCATCGGCAAGGAAACGGTGTTGGAGCTGGCCCGAAGGGGGGCCAAGGTGTATATGGCCTGCCGCGACCCGGGACGCTGTGAGGCAGCCCGCATCGAGATCATGGACCGCACCCAGAACCAGCAGCTATTCAATCGCAGCCTGGACCTCGGCTCCCTGGAGTCCGTTCGCAACTTTGTGGCCCGCTTCAAGTCGGAGGAGTCGCGCCTGGATCTGCTGATCAACAACGCTGGCATCATGGCTTGTCCCCGATCCCTCACCGCCGATGGCTACGAGCAGCAGCTGGGCGTAAACCATTTGGGCCACTTTCTGCTTACCAACCTGCTGCTCGACCGGCTCAAGCAGGCCAAGCCCAGCCGGATCGTGGTGGTCAGCTCGGCAGCCTACCTCTTTGGGCGCATCAATCGCGAGGACATCATGAGCGAGCGCAAGTACAGCAAGTTCTTTGGAGCCTACAGCCAGTCGAAGCTGGCTAACATCCTCTTCACCCGCAAGCTGTCGGCCCTGCTGCACGACACTGGGGTCACGGTCAACTGCTGCCACCCAGGCGTGGTCCGCACCGAGCTGAATCGCCACTTTGCCGGCCCCGCCTGGCTGAAGAGCGCCCTGCAGGTTGTCTCGCTGTACTTCTTTAAGAGCCCCAAGGCCGGGGCCCAGACCACGCTGCGCCTGGCCCTCGACCCGTCACTGGAGGGCTCCTCCGGCGGCTACTATTCGGACAGTATGCGCTTCCCCCTGTTTCCCTGGGCACGCAACACGGACACAGCCGACTGGCTGTGGCGGGAGAGCGAGAAGCTTGTGGGTCTGCCCCCCATAGAGCCGCCACCGGTACATAATGGCAATGGGAGCACCAACGGGAGTGCCAACGGTAATGGCAGCACAGGTACCGCACCCGCAGACACAGTCGACACCGTTGTGGTAAATCGCTCGTAGTCGTCGTAGTCATAAGGGAGATGTTCGATCAATACTGTACCAAGACTGGGGTTCGGTTCGAAGACCTTGCACTTAATTTATTTGATAGTTTTTAATACCCTTGCAGAGAGTTCTGCAAGTCGATCTGCAAGGGTATCAAAAGCTTCGGCCCCACCGAAGCTGACTTTCTTTTCTTGTTGTTTTTTTTTTTTAAATTTTTTTTTATGTCCTCTACATAACTTTAAGTTGAATCTAAATTAAAATAAATTTTAAACTTAACATGCAATGAAATCTTCACGCTTTACTCAGATACTCTCTCTCTCTATATTACACTCTGCTATACCTGCATACGAAATGCATAATAATGCAAGGGTGATGCATTCTCAACAAAGAGGCGTTTGGTTGGCACCACCAGACGCAATCATATTAGATAGATAGCTCGGGAGAGAGGAAAGTAGAACTCCGCACCCAGCATAAGCACACCTTGCAATCCTCATGTTGCTCTCTCGCTCAGCACCGCTTTTCAAGTGCATAATTTCACTCTCCCACCAGTCTCCGTCGCCCTCCACAATTCTCTTTCTTCTACACTCATCTGTCTCTCATTCTTTCTTGCTGTTGGCAATTTGGCAGTACAACAGCAACAACATTAGCATAACAAGCAAAATTTGCGAGAACAAAGCTAAATCAATGAGAACAAACGCTGACGATGTCGCCGCCGCTGTCCGCTGACTGCAATTTAATGTGACGTGAGTGAGTGAGTGAGCAAGCAGACGAGCAGAAGGTGAGTCAGTGGGTGAGTGGGACCGACAGTCAGAGACGTCAACAGTCACACTGGCGCTCTTTCTCTTCCTCGCATCCCCCGCTTTGTTCATTCATTCGCATGCCATTAGCATTAATGGTCGTAGGGGAAGGGAGAGGGACGAGCGAGCGGTGGAGAGACTGCAATTAAACCCATACATGCCCATGGGGTCGTTCTGGTACGTAACTGCAAATTATGGGTGTGCCAAAAGTGAAAATCACAGAACTCAACTCCCAATTGCATCAATTTTTGAATTTTTATACTGTTGCAATAAATTAAAACATTCCGCACTGTGTAACACCATAATTTATACATATGTACATACATATGTGCAGTCCTAATATTTTCCATTTTATTTGAATAAAAATGAAAAAATGAAAGAATGAAAAAGAAAATAATAGAAAAAAAACTATTCAATTTTTGCTCATACCAAAAAACTTCAAGTGCAAATTCAAGATATGTATTATTAGATAACAAGCTTTTAAAAATTTATTCGAAGGAAATGTAGATGCATATGCATGTTTAGGATGCCATTGTGGGGTTAAAGACGGCACACAGCATTTGCACAAAAAACTGCAATGGAAAATTCCACTCGCTCATGAGTGTATTTTGATTGCGTGTCTCCCCCCTTTCTAACGGCGCCGGCTAGGCCCTACCCCAACAGCTGTTCTATTCGGAGAAACGTAAATTTGATCGATAAGAATTGCATTGCGGAAATAGAGCCTACGATATGAGCATACATACATATGTACATACGTACATACGTACATAGGAACGTACAATGCATGTCCAGATACATACATACATATGTATGTATGTATGTGATTGGACATTGAGCTTCTGTCACAGCCCGTAGGTGCCGGTGGAATGTAAATAGAGAGAGAGAGAGAGAGAGCGGTACAGAGGAGAGTGGGTTAAACGGCAAATACAGGTGACGTCCCCTGACTTCAAAATGCAGAAACGTGCATGCTGATGCCGATGCTTGCCAGCAACAAGGTTTTTTTCCCTCTGAAGACTTGGGTGATCGTATGCCCAAATGGAAGAAAGTGTTTTCCATTCGTTGGATAGAAAGAATTCTCCTTCCAGTCTGGCACGTTTGTATGTACGCGTACCGTGCTCCAAAAAATGATAAGTTGCATTCAGATATGAAATTCTAAGCGAAACTAGAGAAGAAGATTCCAGAAACTTTGGATGGTTGCATGGAAGGTGGGGTGTGCATCTGGCATTGGGGTTCGATGTCATGCCGATGGGCTTATGTAAGTGCCTGGTTTTGGCTCTATAACACACATGATTCTATTCCGTTATTTCCTCCAATTCCCACCACCCTCAATCAAGTGTACAATGATCGTAGGAATTGTGAAATTGCTTGCAGGCAACGTCAATGCGTCGCGAAAAATTTGAGATAATATACAACAAAGAGTGCAATACGACTACACGAGTGTAACACGAGTTGAATATTTATCTACCTACCGCAATCCGCATTGATTAGCATGTTATAAACAGAAAACTATACATACATATAATATAATTAAATATCATTGCAAAGAATTAAAAAGAATCAATTTGTGAAAATCAAATTCCCATTCTATTTTTTGGGTATTGTATGCCGAATGTCGTCTCCATTAAAATCATTTATTTTAAATATATTTTTTTAGATGTGCATTTGTTGCTTTGATTGTTGCAATTGCCATTCATTCATTTAGGTACAAATTGATATTTGTCAGCTTTGATATTATGGGACACGTTCTCACTCTCGAGTATAAACTTGACTTTCGATCCAACACCCATCTGACGGCAGCAAAACTCTAGTGGACTTTCAGTATTTGGATTGCCATCTAACGGCGCTTTTTATGACGCTAAAGAGCGAGACAGGAGAGCATGAGAGACTTCCCCTCCCCAACCCCCACCGCCATCCCTGTGTGCATACGTAACCCATCCCATTAGCGAGGTCATTACCATTCCGTGGCTTTTCCGATCTACAAAATTTTCCACGCCAACTTGCAATATGTGTGGAAATTCTTGTCTGGCTGACTCAACCCCAGAAGTTATTTCTACGTTTCTACATTGTGGGATGAAATTGGTGGGTGATGGGAAAGGGAAGGGGGATGAGGGATGGGATGTCGTTCATCAGTCGTCGTCAATCGTCAATAATTGGTTCAAGGTTGTAATCTGACGGGTCCAAAGAAGTGACGCCTGGTTAATGAATGACACAAAAACACAAAAACAACAGAAGAAAATTGCACACTAAAAAATAAAAAAACGTGTGGGGTAAACAAATGCAAACAGCATCTAAAGTGCAGCCAATTCGACACTATTTATAGATATGAGGCGCTGGCGAATTTCTTTAATGGCCGATAAAAACATTTCCCACATCACACCACCCACCACACCGCAGCACCACCCACAAAACGGTTTTGGCGACGTGACAAAAGCAGCAGTGAAAATAGTCCAAAAGGCATGACATCTGAGTATCTCAGGGGAGCAGGGGGCAGGAGGCAGGGCAGGGCAGGGCAGAGGCATGTCCCAAATGGATCGCACGTTTATACGAGATGTGAGATGCCATGCAAACTGCAAAATCACAAAACTGCATGCAATTATTTATAATAAGAGATGTTAGAGCAGTGTTGCAAAGGCTCTCGCTGATGTTCCCTGGATTAAGGGGCATCACTGTCAGGTTTGAAAGATCTCCAGCTCAAGATATTAAATATGACTCAAATCAAACATATTAAGTGATTTATTCATTACAATCATAAGGCCACATTTATTAATTATATAGTTAAAGTGCCGCCAGCAAGTAAATACAAAATTTACTCTAAATTCGAATCAAGCCGCTCAAATTGACGTAGCCGCTACGTAGCTGTTGAGCCCCCCGAACGGCGACTGGTTAACAGGGCTGCCATTTGTCAGTGCTCGCTGGCCAGATCGATAAACAATTGAAAACGCACTAAAAATGCCCGACAAAAATACCAGCACACATTCGGCCAGACCATGCCATGTCCACCATCTTGGGTACGAAGTTGCCACAATTGATAAAGTCGGAAAGAAGGAAAAAACTACCCAATCTCGCAAAAAAATAAGTGTTGACTATTGTAAGAAAAAATTTTACATATCGCAGTACGCGCCAAAAGAAACCCGGCAACGAAATTCGCTGAGAAACTACATTAAAAGGCGCATTAAAACGTTCGTGTGGCTCTGTCGTTGTGAAGGAGGGAGGTGTGGTGAAGAGAGGAGAGGCGGCGCTGACGCCACGCCACACACTGCACGCTGCACAGCGAGACACACACGCCAAAAGAGCAAATCGAAAAGGGCCCCAGACGCCGCACAACATAATGCCCTCGAAGCGCAAGTTCCCGAGCATATCCAGCGACAGTTCGCCTGTAATCAAGGAGGAAATAGTGCCCGTGCTCACACAATCGGAGTCGGAGGATGGCGAAAGTGTCGACGGACAACACTACACATATTCCTACACGACCACCGGTGGGGTGGACCACGCCGAGGCGACGGAGGTGATCACCATGAACGATCGCCATGAGGTGATTATCGATGAGAACGGGCACGCGGTGACGCTGCAGCAATTGGTGGAGAACAGCACCGTCGAGGAGGTGGAGACCATCGAGCAGGGCGACGGCACGCACACAATTCTACGCATTGTGCCCAGCGTTCGTGGCGGCCACCACGAGGAAGAGGGCGAGGACGATGGTGAGGGTGAGGGTGAGGAAGATGAGGAGGAGCTGGAGGAAGAGGTCGAGCAGGATGAGGGTGAAGAGACTCTGGGCTTTGAGCACGAGGGCATCGAGGAGGAGGACGAGGAGGGTGGCGCCTCGATTGTATTCGAGGGCACCATTGACCACAGCCTGGAGGGAGACGTGCGCAACAAGACCTTCTACTGCCCCAACTGTGGCAACTGCTACAGCGCCGCCGGTTCCCTGAAGCTGCATATGCGCGCCTGCCTGCGCCAGCGCAACGAGATCTCGCCCGAGGACCGCAAGTGTACCGTCTGCAGCAAGGTATTCAACTCGGTGGCCTACCTCAAGGAGCACATGATGCGCCATACCGGGGAGCAGCCGTTCCGCTGCACCCGCTGCTATCGCAAGTTCATCGATCAGCAGAAGTTCAACGCCCACATGGAGTCGCACAAGCATCAGGACAAGCTGGAGGCCGAGGCCGTCTCCCTGGCCGCCCAGCATGGCGGCAAGAAGGTCGTGGTGAAGGAATTCAACTGCTCCTTCTGCAACGAGGACTTCACCGTCGTGTTCGATGTGGGACAGGTGAAGCGGCGCTACGCCTGCGACAGCTGCCGCGACAAGTACTCGAATGCGGAGGCACTTCGCCAGCACAAGCAGATGGTGGAGGAGAAGCGCGAGTTCTCGTGCGAACGTTGCGGCCGCAAGTTCGTCTTTGAGGGCTTCCTGCAGCGCCATTTACCCACGTGCGATGGCAGCATCAAGCGTCGGCGCGACATGAAGTAGAGCTGGCAGCAACGTGATGACAATTGGCGGCCGACGAACCCTCGGAGGCGGCGGCGGCACCCTCGACAGCAGCTGAACAACCACAACGATCATAACGATCAGCTGCAGTTCGAGGTGGATCCACTGATGGTTTCACCAATGCATTACGTTGTTATCAAACAGGAGGCAGTCAAGAAGTACGACGATGACAATGAGTATGGGGTCTCGGATGTGAGGCGAAAGAAAAATACATAAGCAAGAGAAAGCAAAGGAACAGGAGTAGAAATTAGCAAGCGAAAGGATGGATGAAAGGACAAGTGTATAGCTCTATCACCCTCCCGCCACCAGGCGGCGACAATCAAATCCCTTTTAACTATGTACAATTTTCGTTATATTCTGATGCCGTTTTCGTGGCGGGTAGGAGAGTGATTAAACAGCGAGCAGAGCGAGAGGTCCACAAATCTTGAGTTACATTTACATATATATTAATATAGGTATAATGAAATACATCTAATTATACCCGGTACTCGATAAGTAAATAGGGTATATTTATTTGTGGGGAATAACGGTTGTATGTAATGCACAGAAGGAAGCGTTTCCGACCCCATAAAGTATATATATTCATGATCAGCATCAATAGCCGAGTCGATAGAGCCATGTCTGTCTGTCCGTCCGTCCGTCTTGTTTTTCGGCTAGTTCTCAGAGACTATAAGAGCTAGAGTCACCAAATTTTGCATCCGGACTGCTGTATGCTCACACTCACACTCACGCAAAAGGGCGAAAAGCTCCCAAATCTACAATTTTGAATATATCTATCAGATCACCAAATAGGCATCCGATTGGATCATTATTATAGCCAGAATGAAGAAATTAATTTGCAGTGACTAAATCCACCCTGTCCCGCAGCTTTTGTTGTTCTTTTCACATTCTCTCATTCACACTCTGCTTCACTCGGCCTCTGCCTGATATTTGTTTTTTTTTGTGTGCCTCTGCACAGTGTGTGGGTCTAGGGAAGGGCGGCGAGCTAAAGGAGCGTGTTGGTGTGAGTAGTGTTGTTGATGTAGCTGACAGATGAAGAAAAATTTAAAATTTGACAAATAACAGCTAAGGTGCAGATGTAGTACTGAGTGCCGGGTATAAAAGTTGTGACGCGTAAGAAGCGTCTCACACGTCCCTTCTCGTTTTTTTTTTATTTTAAACATTTTATGCCCAAAAATTAATTGTTGAAGAAAGAGGTCAAAGAGTTATGGAAAAGCTTGAGGCGCTCCCATTTACGTAGGAATATGAATAACGTTAAGGATCAGAAGCCACCCTTTTTTGTTTATCAAAATGTAAGCTAACAAAATAGTTCGATTCCCCTTGACCAGAGAGACAAAGATAGTGGAAGAGGAAGAGCGAGAGCTAGGGTGCGGCAGTTCTCGCGCGTAAATGTATTGCTTAATATTACTTACCTTATTAAACATTACTTTCTATTATAACTGTACTTCTACTCAACTATTGAAACCTAGTAATGTGTAGAGGACACCCTGGAATAAAGCCAAACCCCACAAAAAGAGAAAACAAAGTAAACGCTTTTGGTTCGGATCGGATGGGTTGGTGATATTGGGGACTACCCGCAGCATCATCGACCCGCAACACTGGAGCAGGCGTTTTCCTAACCAAACGGCAACACCGATGCGCCGGCGGCGACCAACTACTGTCCATCTGGTAACCCTAGGACAAGCGCAATCCACCCCGCACCACCCACACCCACTCCCAGAAAGCAGAAGAATCCGTTTCGTTTCTTTTTGTCCCACATTTCAATCAATATCGCGACTTGTAATTGAGTGCAATGAGCGGGCGCGCTTAGGCAATTCTATAAACAAAAAAAGCTTTACAATATGCATTAACTAAGGAGCAGTACGCTGCTTCCACTCGGCTTTGGCTTACGACCAGAGCTTGATGTGGGCACGCTTGGCGTACGACTTCCAGTCGGCATGGGCATAGAACTCCTTGAAGATGGGAGTCACTAGGGTGTCCTCGGGCAGGGTCTTAAAGACGGGCTCGCCGTACCAGGTGCCCACCTCCCAGCCGGGCACATTCTTCATTAGCTCGGCCTCCTCGTCCCGGTTGCGGCGCAGCTGGCGCAGAAACTCACGATCGCGCTCGGCAATCAGGATCGGGAAGATGACATTCTGAGCCGAACGCATCTCGATCTCGTCGCGCTTCACCTTTTTAGCCGTCAGATAGTAGATGCCCAGACCGACGGTGGTGACGGCCACATAAGTGCCGATCATGGTGAAGCCTGCCACGGGAGCAAAGGTTATCGAATGCACACAGTTGCGGAGGAGGAGAGATCCCCCACTCACCAGTGAAATAGCTCTTGGGAGGCACACGGGCAAAGGGAATCTTCTTGTAGCCGCCGGCTGGAGGCAGGTCCTGCTTAGGGGGCACATGTGGCACGGCCGTGGCCATGGTAACTGCTGCTGTGGGGCCAAAGCTGTGTTTAAATGTCAGTGGATGTATTTGCCATAACTTACGCTATAGAATTTGTATTGAAAAAATAAGAAATCGGCCGTCAAAAATTTCAAGACGCGTTTTGCATAACACTAGGGCTGGCCCTCAACCGACTACCCTATCGATTACGTGATTTTCGTCAGCTATCGAATATCGCTGTAGGGAATATACAATTTTCTGATGTTTTTGAGAATAATCAAGCTTCAAGCTCGATCTAAAATATTTATGGTTTTGGATTTGCTTGGCGAAGAGCTAGAGTTGTCTGGAAAATAAACTAAATATACAGCGACAGGTCAAATCGATATATCGACAAAGCTGCCAACTCATTTTACGAATACTAGCAGGCATTGGATAAAATTTAGTTTCTAACTTAGTTTTCCGTCATTTATCAGTATTTTCTCGGGCGTGTAAGCAATTTATCAAATATATATTTTGTCGCGCCACCTCCAATTGGTAAAATAAACCTGTAGAATGTACGTTTTCCGGTTCTTGACCACGCCAGGCATCGGCCTACGCCAGCAATGCCGCACATCGGCCAAGAAGTCATTCTGGGATTCTGGTAATTTATTGCGCGACATCTTGCGCGCCCCCCTAAAAGAGGAGGGTCCACTGATTCGCGAAAAAATCAAGATCCAGGCTGTGGCCCAGCCACAAGAGTCACTGGCCGGAGGGCCTGACGAGCGTCAGGTGAGTCAAATGTTCGCGCCACCTCTTACCTGTGGGGTGGGTGTGTGTGCGCGCACGCAGCTGGTGCTGCCAACCTAGACTAGACCGGAGCAGACGCGAAAAAGCGACATTTGGTTGGCGGGCCATTCAGTTGCCGCGCAGCTGAAGGGAGAGAAGCACCAAAAGTAAAAAGAAAAAAAATAACATTTCCAAAAGCTATATTCTTCACTGGGGGAAAGCAATTTTTTTCAGTGTTTGTGTGTGTTAGTGGAAAATTTGCTATCTTTTCTAAAGGCGAACGTGTTTTTCTCCCCTCTCTCTCTGTCTTTCTCTCTATAAAGAGCAACAGCATTCTTCATACATAACCGTTGATCATGTCGCTCTATCGCATTTCCGCACGTAAATTGGCCGATGCACAGGTGAGTAGTACCGTTCCTGGTTCCTGTTCCAGTTTCACTTTCCAGTTCCGCTTACTCATCCCACCCCCGCAATAAAGCGGTTCATTCAGCTTCTCTGTTATCCCTTCCCCCCCTCTCGCTGACTTTATTTTGCTCCCACGCACACGCAAGCAGTCCCCATCGCATACCCTACACGTCACGAAAAAAAAAAGATTCCGCCATGTGCTTGCGATTAAGAAACTTTTGTTTTATTGTGCCCTGATAAGTGTGTAGTGTGTGGCATTCCACGCTGGCCAGCCGCCCATCCTGTCGAGTGTTTCGCCATATATAACACATTACATAATCTCCGAAGAGGTGGGCGGGGTGGGGTACTAGCGAAAAGATTCGCTTTGGGGCTATTTTGGCAAATGCGTATTTCTTGTTTTATATAAATAAAACAGTCTGCTTTTTTCGAGTTTAACGAACTCGGCCGCGCTCCCGTTGCCTTTTGTATTTCTTCTTATATTTTTTGGAAATTTCCATAAGCGTGGCTTTCGGAAACCAGACTTGGCCCAAAGCACCATGCGGCCTTGTTCTTGTAATGTTACAGCGTTGGCAATGCTCTCCCCAGACCAGTCCCGTTCTCTCTCTCTCTGAAATGCACGCTCTCTCGTTCTTAAGGGTACAACAAAGGCAAAAAGAAAGGTGCATTCCTATAAGGTGGGGCGGTAGGAGGTGAGGCTCATCCAAAGGGACTTTTGTTTTTATGTAACCGCTTCTCTTGGGTTGCTTTGCCCTCATAGCAAAACAAAAAAATGTTTCCTGGGAATGTCTCACCTCAAACAAATATGCCTTGGCGGACGACTGGCAGCAGGGCAGCCACAAGTCGCAGGTAGCAGCTCTCTTTGGGCTCTCTTTTATTCCTCTCTCGCTCTCTCATTCCGACTGGCTCTCTAATTCCTCGTAGCGTCGGTTTGTTTCCAAAGAGTGTCACGTGTTGTTGTTGCAAAAAAAAAAAAAAAACAAAAAATGCTCCACTGAAAACCAGAGAGTCAAGAAGCATTGTCCGCCGAATGACCTTAAAGAAGATGATGCCAATCCCACCCATTCGCCGCCCACTGGCAATGCACCCAAGTATTTGCATGGGAGCCGTGTGTTTGTGTGTGCGTTTTGGGTCGGCAGCGTGGATTATGCAATGGCTGGCAGCAGCAACAAAAAGTAGAACAGAAAATTGATAATTGGAAAATCAATACAAAAAAAAGTCACGCACATGGAGAAACGAAAACGAGCCTTCCAGGACGAGCCTCCTTTTGTGTGTCTCTCTCACTCTCTCTCTCTCTGCCGCTCTTTGGGGGTGTTTCAAAATATCTCTATCTCTCGCATTGCTCGTAATCCATCTGTCATCTGCCTTCGCTGGAGGTTTGCCTGAGGACTTGAGATGGAGCTATCCCAATGCCTGCCTGCGCGCTCTTCCTTTTCTACTGCCTGTCAGATTCTTACTTCTCTTTCGCCGCCTCCTTTCATCTCTCTCCCCTGCTTAACCCGTGTTGTGGTCCCGGGCAGAGTGCCAAAAAACGCGCGCACTGACGTGGGTTCGGTTCATTCCTCAGCAAAAAGCGGAGCACAACACACATACACACACACACAGAGAGGAACTGAACTGTGGGGCGAATCACCTTATTTTGAATGCTTTACTTTTTGCTCTCTCTTTGCTATAAATAATTGCTGTAAATGCTATGCTAAATACGGTTTTTGTGGGATTGAATAATAAGCATTAACAGCAAGCATCGCCCTATCATGGCCAAAAAAGACGACAGATAGACACAAAAATACATTGGGTTTTTTGTTTCATCTTCGGCGTAGCCGTACTCGCCTACTCGTAGCCCCGCACCACAGCCAAACAAGCATTTCACTGTTGAAATGGCGAACACGCGAAATCTTTTATCGCCCGTCTGCTAATACGTCACAAATATTGTACGTGACGCGAGGTTTAGTCGATGTTTACGTAATGCCTCGACCAGAGACGACCCTTTGGGCGCACACAAAAAAAGACTCAAGACAAAGAGACAAAGAGAGTGAAAGAGAGTGGGTGTCTTTGTGTCTAGAGTCTAGAGCTAAACAGCTGATCAAGCGATTACATAAGAAGCAGCCAAATGCTAAATATTATATATGATCGCTTGGTCGGTCTCTCTCTCTCTCTCCACACATCTGATTAGATTTGTACATATAATTTTAGTTTTATAAAGGTACTTAATGGATCAGGTGCTGTGTGTGTGTGTGTGTGTGTGTGTGTGTGTGTGTACAAAGCTCAAGTGGCCCTACCATAGGCCACACCAATCCGGTAATACGCCAGTCATTTGGCCACCCATTCCTTACCCATCCCCGAATTACATTCCCCCGTATCAGTTTAGTTATGCTCAAGTTCTTAACAGTATAGATAACGGTATTTGGGGGCGTCATGGAAAGTTTCTAAGAAACTTCTAATGGAGGCCCAGACCTTGGCCATCAAAAAATAGATTATTTTTCTGCCAAACTTTAAAATGAGTCAAAAATTATAAAAATCAGATAATTATAAGTATATTATATAGTAGCAGTAGTTGTCGGCGAAATCGATCGATCTGGAAGGGTATATTCTTGGTTTTTCTCAAAGATAACGAATTGGTGGGGTGGAAACCATCGATGAGAGATTGTGTTGTCAAGATCTTGATCATGTGATACATAATCAGTCGTTCCCACATGCTCCTCTTTGACTCTCTCTCTCTGTTCGAGTAGTTTTTTTGCATTAACCGCATTGCCATAGCACACACTTCCCACCCCCTCATCCAACTAGTGCGACTGATAAGCGTGACAAATTTGTACCCGCTAGGCACATGATCGACGCACAGGAGTGGGAGAGAGAGGGAGACGTGGGGTGGGGCTGCACAGCTGGTTAGAGCTGATAGCGCCAAAGACCCACAGGCCCCAAGCAGAAGCATGCTCCACGAATATCCCACCAGAAGGTGTTAATTCAATCAGTTTTTAGTGATAAAACAAGCAAATAATAATTCGCAATGCGCCATTTTAGTGGCTTTTGCTAATGAAGAAAGCGGAATGCAAGAATTTCCGCAAAGAGATAGGGAAAACAGAAAACAAAGCCCCTTGATGGACAGTGATTGATGATGATTGGAGGCAACTTCATATGATGAAGTAACCACCTCAATCCGTAATCTATTGTGGAGCATATTTGTAGACAAATTTAATGAATTTGCCATTTGCCTTACGTAAATGACTGGACCTTTATATCTTTATACATGCTTAAATGTTTAATCGAGTGATAACAGAAGTCAACAATAAGTCTCTAGCGCATTTGAGGTCTAAAAGTAATCGGCTGAGGGGCGCTGCTGCATGACGCAGAGCGCTTAAATCCAATGGGTGAGCAGTTTAGGATACAAGTTTATCTCAATTCTGATTGAATGACAGTTGAGGATGACAAACGATTATTGGCTTAAACAACATAAGTGACTAATAATAAAAAAAAAACCCAGTTGCCAGCTCACTGAAAGGAAAGTCACTTCTCTAACCAAGGCGTATCTCCGAATGATGCCAGTGTTTCCCCTTGTAAAGCGTCTGCGGCTGGGGCTGCCAGGCAGCAGCAGAACACAACAGAACATCAGAAAATATCCGACAGATCTCACAGCTTTAACAAAGTGGAATCGGACTGGAAATTATGGCCGGGGGATTACGTCAGTGGCAGTGTCAATGTGATGTGTATTTACTTTTGGCGTCTGCTGTGAGACACAAAACAAAAACTGAAACTGAAAATGGAAATAACAAAAGTACGAGTAGTAATAGCTAACAGAAAACCTAATTAAGACGATTAAAGATCGCTTCAATGGAGGAACGAAGCAGCAGCCAGCAGCTAGCAGCTAGCAGCCTCGTCAGCCTGTCAGTCAGGGGATGCAATTATTAAGCAATTGTAAAACGCTATGTAATATTAGCAGAAATAATAGTTAGAAATCATTAAACCAAATTGAAAGCGTCACGCAGCAAGGCGAAAGCCCAAGGCCACCAATGAGAGATCAAAAGAGAGTCAGAGAGAGTGAGAGCGAGAGAGGCGAGAGAGCGGGATCACCTCGTGCGCCTCTCCAACATTGTGGTTTCCCGTTAGAATGGCAGAGAGAGCAATGTCCACTTGTCGCGTAATTTGTATTGCTATTTGCCAGACGTCGATTGATTATGCAATCGCTCGCTTGACTAATCGTACGATGAAGAAAGGAAGTCTGCTGGTCTCTGGGGCAAGCAACACGCGACTCTGATCAGATAGATGACACTTCCTTGATGACATATAAGTACAGTTCTTTACACACGCTCTGGCTTAAAACTAAAGCGAGCCTCACGCTGTGTGTGTTTTCTGCGAGCGATAATTTCACGCGCGCGTGAGACCTTCAAATTTACACACACACTAAAGCACATACATACATACATACTTGATATTTACATATATTTGTCGTTGTTGCTCTCTTATCAAGAGATGAACGAGCCGACAGGCAGCAGCGCCCCACCTCTTCACTAATCGCAGATAATGTGCGCGCTTGAAGCATTCTTTAGATTTGTAATCGAAGCGAAAGCGTTGCCCTGCTGCAAAGCAGCATCCTCGAGATGGTTTCTCTCATTGCAAATGGAAAAACCACACAACCACACGATCTGCTCTGCCGCTTGACTGACAAATCAATTAGCAATTTCTACCTGCCCATTTCTGGGTGTTGATTTGCTTGCGGTTTACTTGCAACAAAACGGCGAGTGCTTTGCTAAGGTTTCAAATTTCCAGCCGGCGGGGTGCTGGCTTTTTCGTCTTTTATTTTTCTTTGCTTGTTAAACGCCTCATCGATCGTGTTGCATTTATGTTTGACACCCGCCCATTATCGATAATTGAGACACGGCTCCGTATGATGCATGCGTGTGAATTTTTTATCAATGAATTTTTGGCATCGACAAACCAGAAAAACTACACAAAACTAACCGGTTTGCGGTTGGTCGGTTGGTGGCCGGCGCACAAATCAATGTGCGGCACCAGAAGCCAGAGAGAGGGGGCTCAAAAATCATGCAATTCAATTTGCAAGCAACGAGCTGAGCTGGACACCGGCGACGGACAACAAGCGGCGCTACAAGTTCAGTTGGTTAATTGAATTTGTTGACCCACTAGCCGCAGCAGTGCCCACCACAGAGAGCAGAAGCAGCAGCTGCGGCAGCAGAGAGCCCAGAGCCCAGAGCCCCCAGACAGCCGACTGTCAATCAACTGGCATCGCACTTTGTGCCTGGGAGCGCGAAATCAACTCGGAATTGGAATCGCATTCGATTCGGATTCGGATTGCCATGTCGTTGCCATGTCGCTTTGCATTTTTATTACGAGTTGTACTTGCGTTTCGAAAGCGTGGCAAAGATCATTCCATTAAGCACACTCAGAGCACCTGTGGAGACCATGGAAACAATTGCGGGGGGAGTATCCAAAGCTTTTGGCACGTGACGAACCAATCCGAAATCCGAAATGGGCAACAGTTGGCTGTGTCTACCCTTCACTGAACCAACAAGAGAGGGAGCGGAGGAATGACCTTGGCTGTGCGTGCGGCTCAAAGGTACAGTCTGCCATGGAGCAGGGGAAGCGTTTGCAGCAGTCGTGAGCGGCAGCCCTACGGCATATGTAGTACTTCATTGACGCATCTCTGTGGCGGCGCGTGTGAGTCATTGGAAGCATCTATTGAGATTAGTGATCTGTGCAGCGTTATCAACACAATTCGTGTCTGGATGTGTGCCTACTCAGACGACAACGATGGCTTATGTCATGTGCAATGTCATGCTATTGAAGTGCGGCTCAATGACAAAAGGCGAAAGCGATTACAACAGCGACTGCAGCTGATGGCAATTGATTGGCTTGCTTGGCTTGGCTTTGCTTTTGGGGGGTGTGTGATCAGAGGTTCCTTCATAAAGCTTCCATTGAATGAATTTGAAATCGTTTGCGAGCGGAAACTTTCATTTGATCAATTCCATTCCGCATTTGATCGATAGCAGTCGATAACTCTTCGATAAATAATCATTAATTATTGTTTTTTTGTTTTTTTTATTTCAGAAACTTCCCAATGTTGGATCATATGTGCGCCTGATCTCGGCCGATGGACGCAGCCTGCGCGACGTACTGACCGCCAAGGTGCCCGAGGAGCAGGAGCGCGTGAAGAACTTCCGTAAGCAGCATGGCGCCACCAAGCTGGGAGAGACCACCATTGACATGATGTATGGCGGTATGCGCGGCATCAAGGCCCTGGTCACGGAGACCTCTGTGCTGGACGCTGATGAGGGTATCCGCTTCCGCGGCCTCTCCATCCCCGAGTGCCAGAAGGTGCTGCCCGCCGCCCCCGGTGGCACTGAGCCCCTGCCAGAGGGTCTGTTCTGGCTGCTGTTGACCGGCGAGGTGCCCACCCAGTCCCAGGTGCAGCAGCTCTCCCGCGAGTGGGCCGAGCGCGCTGCCCTGCCCCAGCATGTGGTCACAATGCTGAACAACATGCCCACCAGCCTGCATCCGATGTCGCAGCTGGCCGCCGCCGTTACGGCCCTCAACCACGACAGCAAGTTCGCCAAGGCCTACTCCGAGGGTGTGCACAAGAGCAAGTACTGGGAGTACGTCTATGAGGACAGCATGGATCTGATCGCCAAGCTGCCCGTGGTGGCCGCCACCATCTACTGCAACACGTACCGCGGCGGCAAGGGCTCCCGCTCCATTGACTCGAGCCTCGATTGGTCCGCCAACTTCGTGAAGATGCTCGGCTACGACAATGCCCAGTTCACCGAGCTGATGCGCCTCTATCTGACCATCCACAGTGACCACGAGGGTGGCAATGTCTCTGCCCATACCGTGCATTTGGTTGGCTCCGCCCTGAGCGATCCCTATCTGTCGTTCGCCGCTGGCATGAACGGTCTCGCCGGCCCCCTGCACGGCCTGGCCAACCAGGAGGTGCTCGTCTGGCTGCGCAAGCTCCAGAAGGAGGCTGGCAACAATCCATCGGAGGACCAGCTGAAGGACTACATCTGGAAGACCCTCAAGTCTGGACAGGTATAGTTACGCTTTATTTCCATGGGATATACATTTACTGATCCAATTTCGATTTCGATTGTGCAGGTTGTGCCCGGCTATGGACACGCTGTGCTCCGCAAGACCGATCCCCGCTACACCTGCCAGCGCGAGTTTGCGTTGAAGCATTTGCCCGAGGATGAGCTGTTCCAGCTGGTGTCGAAGATCTACAAGGTGGTGCCCCCAATCCTCACCGAGACCGGCAAGGTGAAGAACCCCTGGCCCAATGTAGACGCCCACTCCGGCGTCCTGCTGCAGTACTACGGCATGAAGGAGATGAATTACTACACCGTTCTGTTTGGCGTCTCCCGTGCCCTCGGCGTGCTCGCCTCCCTTGTCTGGGATCGCGCCCTGGGTCTGCCCATTGAGCGCCCCAAGTCATACTCCACCGATCTTCTGGTCAAGATGGTCCAGAAGTAAGACGCTGGTCGACGATGGCGGCGCAGTGATGGGGATGGGATGGAGGGAAGTTCTAGACGCAGGTGCGGTCGCAGAAGATTAATTTTTCTTCTTCTGCGGACTGTAGCCAAGTAATAAACGAGAGAGAGAGAGAGAGCGGAGTGACGGAAAGAGCAGAGAGAAGAGAAATTAAATGGAGATTGTGTAGTAGAAACAGCAACCAAATATGAACCAACAGCTAAACAACAACAAAACTGCTTAGAACAACAAACAGAAGCAAACAACAATGGAAGAGCAACAACAAAAGAAAGATGAAGGCAGAAAACTTACCTTTAACTTAGTAAAAATAATTACACTCAGCAAAAGCGAAAAAGCAAAACACCTAAATTAATTGTATACGTGATTCCATGTATGTGTACATATATGTATATGTATATATAGATGGAGTGAGAATTGTTTGCGCATTAACTCACACACAAACACACACACACCCCACCAAGAACACCCCGCCCTTCCTGGCCTCCTTTTTTTTAGTTTTATGTTTTGTAGGATGCCAAATGATGTGGGCCTTTTCCTTTGCCTAACCACCACCCCCACCCAACTCCAACTCCAGCTACCCACCCATGCCCACGCCCATCCCCATCCCCGTTCCGCCTGAGAACCAAAACCATACACAACAAATTACTAACTTGATAACATGTTATTTTTAATTTAAATATAATTTATTATGCAAACAAGATAAAGCGAGAAATACAATACATACAAAAACAACAAGTGTAAAGCGGAAACCCGAACAACAACAACAAGAAAAAGATCTACAACAAAAAACTCAATAAAAAAACAGAACAATAAATAATATAGAGAATTATATTTAGTGTAGTGATTGCCACAAGCGGTGAGAATTGCAAATGCAGAATTCGTTGCCATGCAAGTGTATTCAAGAAAGCAACAGACAACAATAATAAAATCGAAACGTAGCAAACTTGAAACGAAAACGTATTTTGCTTTGACATTTATTTATTTTGAAGTTTTGATAGTTTGAAATTGCCGCTCCAGTTGCGCTCTTATCGATAAGTGACCGCCACTAAGTGTGACCCCAGACTGCAAGCAGTGTGGCCAGTAAAACCAAAACAAGGCTACCCAACACTAGTCGATTGCTATCGATAGGCTCGCTGCAGCCCTAGTAAAGCGCATGTTACATCATTTAGAGTCGAAAAATAGCTTAAAATTATTAAAAATTGCCACAACAAATAACCTGCAGCCGCAACTGGATTCAACAAAATCAAATGCACTGAAATGTGCATGCATTTGACAGCTGAACATCGTTTGAACCGCTAGGCTAGGACAAACCAACCGACGGGGCACGACAGGCGGCAACACGCAGGCGAAAAATAAATATACAAATATAAAACAATACGATGAGCGAGAGCAATAATCAGGTTAGTTGTTGGTCGGGGCACAGGTGAGCGGGACAGAGAGAGAGAGACGATGAGTTTATCAATAATTACTGTTACGCATACACAAATGGCGAATCGAAAGGGCAACTCCGATCGCATATGAAAAATCAACGAACGAATCGTTTTAGGTTTATATACTATTACTCTTCGAATGAATTTGGTTGCAGCGCAATTTATCTCTGCCCGCGTGTGTGTGTGTGTGTGTGTGTGTGTGTTTGGTGTGTGTGTGTGCACTATTTGCGTTTTTATATTTTGTCCACCCCCCCCACACACCACATCCCCTCACCAACCCAACACTTTTGCTTATCTCCTGGCACTATTTTTCCTGCTTTCTTTCTCCGTTTTGCCTACAATGTCATAATTTCGCTTGATTTCATTTGATTTTATTTCGTTTCGTTTCAGTTTTGTGACGTTGATTTTTGAACAAAACCAAAAGAAAAATATTAAAACCGAATAGAGAGCGCGCGCCGAACCGCCGTCCCCCCTGCGACTCAGTTCCTTTTTGGTTTTGCTCGTGGTTTTCCTTTGGTAAACCCACAGCGGCCCACGGTGGTTGCTTGGAGGAGGTGCACGCCCGAGCCACAGGCACAGGCTGGTGCACAGCAAACGAACACGAACACAACTTTCGAGTATCCTGCATAGGCTGCATACCTTTTGTTTTGTATCCAAATCTTCTCTTCCTCTCCAAAACGCAAACTAAAATCTAACACCCGAAATGGCGGCTTACCTGAATCGCACCATCTCGCTGGTGACTGGCCAAACGGGGCCCAACGGCAACACGGACGCCGACGATCATCACTCCTCGTCCACGGACACCGTTGACAAATCTGTGGGCCCTCTCTCCCGCCACAACTCCACACTGCAAACCTCTGGCTCAAATGCATCGATGAATTATGCTCTAAACGTCACCGGCGGCGTCGCCTCCGATACGCGGCTGTATCAATCGAACGACAAATCTCCACTTCAGATCTTTGTGCGGGCCAAAAAGAAGATCAACGACATCTACGGAGAGATCGAGGAGTATGTGCATGAGACAACGACCTTCATAAATGGTAAGCCAGTCTATATAGCCTCATCCATCCCCGATTTACTTCACCGCTTTCTGCTTATTGGCAAAACAGCTTTGCATGCCGAAGCCGAGATCGTGGACAAGGCCGAGCGGGAGCTGTTCGAGAGTTATGTGTACAAGGTGGCGGCCATTCGCGAGGTGCTGCAGCGCGATCACATGAAGGTGGCATTCTTTGGGCGCACCTCGAACGGCAAGAGCTCGGTGATCAATGCCATGCTGCGGGAGAAGATTCTGCCCAGCGGCATTGGCCATACCACAAACTGTTTCTGCCAGGTGGAGGGCAACGATGGCGGCGAGGCATATCTGATGACCGAGGGCTCCGCGGAGAAGCTCAATGTGGTGGTGCGTAGCGAGTGGCCGACAACTGTGCGTCCCTTATGATCCTTTTGGTTAATCCTTTGCAGAACATCAAACAACTGGCGAATGCCCTGTGCCAGGAGAAGCTCTGCGAGAGCAGTCTGGTGCGCATATTCTGGCCACGCGAGCGCTGCAGCCTGCTGCGCGATGATGTCGTTTTTGTGGACTCACCCGGTGTCGATGTGTCGGCGAATCTGGATGATTGGATTGACAATCATTGCCTCAATGCGGACGTCTTTGTGCTGGTCCTCAATGCCGAGTCCACAATGACGCGTGCCGAGAAGCAGTTCTTTCACACCGTCTCACAGAAGCTCTCCAAGCCGAATATCTTTATACTAAACAATCGCTGGGATGCCTCCGCCAATGAGCCCGAGTGTCAAGAGTCGGTAAGGCATAGCACACACCTCCCCCCAAAACGTGTCCATGTCCTCCTTTTGGCTATAAGTCTCGCTGTATCTTGTATCTTTGCCTTTTCTTTGTGTCTGTCGTGTATGTTGATTGTGTCTCTTCTTACCTTTTGTTTTTTTTTTACAACTGTCCAACATTCATCACCGGCAGGATCTGGCCAAGGTAATGAAACACACAGCTAGAACCCAGAACCTCTTGCTCTGCCTCTGCTTTGTCGTTCCCTGAAGAGTAGTTTTACGCCCCACCCATTACGCCCCCCTTTTGTTTTGAGCTGCCTGCGTCAGAAGAGTTTTTAGCAATCAAATTGACTTTCAATCCAATCCATTCGATAGGTTAAATCACAGCACACAGAGCGCTGCATCGATTTTCTCACCAAGGAGCTGAAAGTGAGCAACGAGAAGGAGGCCGCCGAGCGAGTGTTCTTCGTTTCGGCACGGGAGACGCTGCAGGCACGCATCGAGGAGGCCAAGGGCAATCCGCCGCATATGGGCGCCATTGCCGAGGGCTTTCAGATACGCTACTTTGAGTTCCAGGACTTTGAGCGCAAGTTCGAGGAGTGCATCTCGCAGAGTGCCGTCAAGACAAAGTTCCAGCAGCACAGTTCGCGTGGCAAGAGCGTGTCGGGGGACATGCGCTCGATGCTGGACAACATTTACGAGCGCATTACGATCTTTCGCAATCTGAAGCAGGACCAGAAGAATCTGCTGACGGACCGCATCCAGGGCACCGAGACCCAGATGATGCAGGTGACCCGCGACATGAAGCAGAAGATTCACACCATGGTCGAGGAGGTTGAGGAGAAGGTCTCGAAGGCCCTCAACGAGGAGATCTGGCGTTTGGGCGTACTCATTGATGAGTTCAATATGCCCTTCCATCCCGAGCGGCTTGTGCTCAACATCTACAAGAAGGAGTTGAATGCCCATGTGGAGAGCGGCCTCGGCAGCAACCTGCGTGCCCGCCTCTCCATTGCCCTGGCCATGAACGTGGAGTCCGCCCAGGCGGACATGACCGACCGCATGCACGCGCTGGTGCCCAACGAGCAGCTGATTGTCAGCAGCACCAAGATGGCCCTGCGCAGTCAGCCCTTCGAGATGCTCTACTCGCTGAACTGTCAGAATCTGTGCGCCGACTTCCAGGAGGATCTGGAGTTCAAATTCAGTTGGGGCATCACGGCCATGATCCAACGCTTCACCGGCAAGGTGCGGGAGCGTAGCAAAAAGAGTCAGCCAGCATTGGCCCACCGTCAGACGAGTGTTGGGGTGAGTCAAGCGAAGAGGGAAAAGGGAAATCAAAAGCATAATCTCTCCTCGGTCCAAGCAGCAGCAGCAGCATGGCGTTGTGTCGCCCGTTAGCTCTCAGATGGATGATGCCACACCGGTGTGCCTGTTGCCATCGCCTGGCTTGGTGGCGGGCATAACGCCCGAGCAGCTGTCGCTGATCTCACGATTTGCCATCACATCTGTCGGCGGGCAGGGCACAATGGGCGGCCTATTAGTGGCCGGAATTGTAAGTATAAAGTTTTTTGCTGTGCTCATGTCAAGCCGATACCCTTCCATCGCTTTCATCCCATTTCCAGATGCTGAAAACGATCGGTTGGCGTGTCCTTGTCGGCGTGGGTGCTCTCTATGGCTGCATCTACCTGTACGAGCGCCTCTCGTGGACTAACTCCGCCAAGGAGCGCACCTTCAAGAGCCAGTACGTGCAGCATGCCACCAAGAAGCTCAAGATGATTGTCGATCTAACATCGGCCAATTGCAGTCACCAGGTGCAGCAGTAAGTCTACCCATCGATAAATATTTCAAGAAAGAAATACAAGAATCTATTTGTTTCCCCAGGGAATTGTCCAGCACATTTGCACGGCTCTGCCGCACTGTGGACACAGCCACCACCGACATGAATGAGGAGCTAAAGACGCTCGAGGTGCAGCTGAATTTGCTCGAGTCCAATCAGAAGCAGCTCAAGCTGCTGCGCAACAAGGCCAACTACATACAGAACGAGTTGGATATTTTCGAGCATAATTATATAACAACGCAGTAGAGCAGATGGCGGCAGATGGGAATGTAAAAGGATCAAGGATCAAGCACATCCCAGAGATTTATACACACCCACACCCACACACACACACACGACTATAGCGACAACAATTAGGCAGCAACAATTGGCTTTCCATTTTATTTTTTGTTTGCCTTGTTGCAAAAACTCTCAAAATTGTTTGTTATTTTTTGGTAAAATTTTTTTGAAAAAAGAACAGAATGCACGCTGAGAGAGCTCTTTTAGGCTCGGATCGGATCGGATTGGATCGGTTCTAAATTGTCATTGTTGTTGTTGCTTGCGAGAAATAATTTTAATTCCCAACTCTTATACACACCCTACCCCAACCAAACCCTATTATAAACTATATTTTATTATTGTTGTTGTTGTTTTTAACACACACACACACACACACCAGACATATACATAAACACTGTGAACAATGGCCAGGAAGCCATAAAATGAATTATAAAATCCCCTTGGAAGATGAAATTGGAAAACGATAAAAGAAAACTCTTATTATTATTATTATATATTATTATAAGCAAGAAACTCTAGTGATTATTATTATTGTTTTTTTTGTTCAATTTCTTTTGTATTAGAATAATTAAACGAATCGAAACTTTATGGAGAGGAAAAGCAAGAGCAAGAGGATGGATGTTATGCAAGCATACAAATAGTTGAATGGTGAAACTTTCCATGTACGGAATACACTGAGGAATCATTTCAGATCGATTGCGAGCTTTCTTTTCACCTTTCCTTTATTTATCTCTATTCCTCAATGTTTGTCTTTTAGATTTTATGTGGGTATGTGGGATCCCATCTTCTATCGTTTCGGTTCTCTTTTCTCTCTTCAGTATTCATTCGATTGAATGAAAAACTTAAGAGATTTATGTATGCAATTTTGCAGCATAAATAGATATAATTTGTCAGCCCGATTTGACATGAATTATATAGGGAAATGTTACAGGGCATTGCCAGCTGGGGTTACACATCAACTCAATAAATTGCAACTAGCAGAGATAGACACTTATAGAGGACAGGAAACATCGCAGTGCATGCTACAGAAGGAGATCCCAACATTTGGGTTTTCAAACAGAGAAAATACCCCAAAGGGAATCCAGAATCGAGTAGATCCTTTTGCCCCTCTCTCTCTCTTTCTCTTGCCTGCTAGTCGCTGCATCTCTCTCTAACTGCTGAACGCTTCCTGTCATCATCCAGAACATAAACTTTGCAATTGTCTTCGTGTATTTTTTGTTTCAATTTTATTTTGTTTTAATCGTGCGGGTCTTCGTTTGGTTTTTGGGGGAAACTTTGTTTCTCACATCAAAATTTATTCTTCATCTTCTTGCTGCTGTTGGTGTTTGGGGGAAACATAAGGGGTTTTGTTGTTGTTGTTGTTTTTGTAGCGTAAATATCGTTAAAAAATGTACAAAAAGTTGTAAGTGCAATTTGGTTTTTGCTCACAGAAATAAATAAGATTGGAATCCACATTTGAATGAATCTATATGTGTATATATGTATACCTATTTGTGTATAATATATGTATGTCTATATAGATAAAGGCGTTTGCTCCTCTCCCTCCCTCCGTCCCACCGCACCGTGGGGTGGAACAGACGTGATGTTCCGCGAGATATGTGTGTTGCCCCGATTGATGGATGGGTTAGAGCAAACTGCAGGTGTAAAGGCGGCTGCTGGCGAATGGCGTTTTGTTTGGGGATTTTGTGTTGGGTTGACAATTGGCTGGATGAACTGGCTCCTCCTCCTCCTCCTCATCCTGCGGAGCCACTCCTGACCCAATCCTGAGTAGAAGCAAATACCACAGCTCTGTGTGTGTTGGATGGTCTTAGAGGAAATAGGGCGTCGTATTTTGCTTGGGTATAACGCGCTCATCGTCGGGCACCGCCAGGAAGATCTTTGTGGACCGCTGCTGGGCCGTCTCGAAGCTGAGGATGGCAGCCACATTTCCGCAGCGGTAGCAATAGTTTGGCGCCGACCACACGGTCACCAGCTTGCCATCGAACATGTACTTGATGCCCTCGTTGACCAGCTGATGGGCGCGACAGATCAGATCGAGATTATTGATGGCCATAAAGTCCTTGGTGACATTGTGGCCAAAGAGCCAGCCGGCGCCGCGCGGACTCTGGCCCCAGTACTCCATGTCCTCCGGGTCGGACCAGACCAGATCACAGAAGGCTCCCTTGTACGGTATCTCGCCGTTTCGCTCGATGGTTCGGATTTGATCCAGGGTTATAATCTCGGGACTGAGGCCGCCATGCACGCACAAGACCTCCTCGTCAATGATCTGAAAGCGGAAAGCACATGATGGGTATTGCAGTGGGTACTTGGGGGCAATGCTTACCGCAGCTATGGTAAGCAGATCGAAGACCTTGCAGCAGTATTTCCAGCCATTCGTGTTGCCGTACTTGCCAAAGCACTCGTCAAAGAAGCCATACACCTTGGTGATCTGCCGCGTCTCGTGGTTGCCGCGCAACAGTGTGATTCGGCTGGGGTGGCGCGCCTTAAGCGTCAGCAGGCGGGTGAATGTCTCCAGGCTGTAGTAGCCCCGATCCACGAAGTCGCCCATGAATATGTAGTTTGTGTCCGGCACCTGGCCGCCCTCCCGGAACAGCTGCTCCAAGTCATAGAACTGCAAGGAAAGGACAGTCGTGTAGGACAAAGCACGCTGCTTGACGGCGGGCGGCACTCACCTGGCCGTGTATGTCGCCACAGACGGTGACGGGCGTGCTCACTGGCAGTATGTTCGTCTCCTCCAGCAGGATGTCGCAGACCATATCACAGAGCTTTCGCAGTTCATTTTCGGGCAGGTACTTGCACTCCTTTACAATCTCTATCCATTTGTCCACATCGCCCATGTTGTCGTCCAATATTTTTTATTTTTATTCCTGCTAGCAGCGCAGTGTGACCGCGGATTTATCGATCAAATATACCGCAAGGCACTCAAAAATATATCGGAATAAACCTTATATTTTTAAAATATACCATATCACAGAGCTTTCGCAGTTCATTTCCTTACCCTTTTCCATAAGGGTGCTATAAATTTCAGTATGATTACTGGAGAACGAGCTCCCAGCCCTGAAGCAAGTACATACATATATATATATTATTATATTGTATTATATATATATAATAATATATAATTGCTTCAAGCTCCCAACCACCCCAGGTCAATCCATCGGGTCAATCGAAAATATGAATTTCCAACAAAAAAAGTGCTGCCAAGCATTTAAGGCCGTTGAAAATTTCGAATTTTCGAAATGAAGTAGGACATTTCTATGGTTTATTCTGTATATTAATATTCTTATTACAATTATTAATTCTTTTTAACAGAAGTCGGCAAAAGAATTTTTAAAAACTTTTGCGAATCCCACCTCGAAAAAGAGAGCAAGCCCAGCAAAAGTTCGGTTTTGAAGTTGTGAAATGTTCTTCTATTTCAATAACCCCGACCACGGAGTAGCGCAAGTTGCTACACGTTATGTTCCTATTATATACCTCTGATTATGGAATTATTGATGATATTTACCATCCATTATTTACCGAAATAACGTAAATATAATTTCTACGTCAAAACATACCGATAGGTATATAAATGCAAAAAGATAAAACGCGTATAGAGAGAGGGTGGATACTCATACGCATACATACACATGTATCTTTGTTAATTCAACACACACATGCAGTAAATACATACATATGTATATATTAACATGTGAATATGTACTTATGAACCATAATTATGGAGGATATATTGTATCTGGTGTTGGAACGGGTTTTTACGGACAGGGGTGGGGAAACCAGATTCGAAATGGATCGTATCACTTATCGATACATCGCACAGACATCGCATATAATATTGAATAGCCGTTTTAAAAACGCCTCAGTGTGTATATATGTATGTAGGTGCGTGCGTGTGCACAACGAAGCGAACAAACGTACATGGGGTAAAACTGAGCGAAACACAAGCAGAAGCAGAAACAGAAACAGAGAGAGGCCAGCGAACAGAGCCAAGTTGCAGCTGCTATTGCTTCGCCTCGTCAAACGACGACGACAACGAAAACTCGAATAGGGTAAGTAAAAACGGCAACAACGAATGATGGCGGCAAAGCGGACATGAAGTTAAAACCCGACGCAAAAGGCAAACGAGCGATAGGCGAACTCAAGCGTTGGGGCGTAGTGTATATGTGCCAGCGGGGATACAATTAGGCTTGGCTTTTATATACATCCATATGTTTGTAAATAAGATGTAGTTGCGGTTTCTGATCTAGAGTACAACAGATGTAAATGCACGTACATATGAGTAACTCCAGATGATATGCAGCATGTAAAATTATATGTAAAGAGACTCTGACAGCTTGAACAGACCAGACCTAGGCCCATCAGGACTGTAAATAAATAAATGTATGCGATTATTGTGAATTTCAAGCACACACATGCCGTGGTAGCGACTAAAATTCAAAAGCTGACGCACCCCCTCATGAATAATGATAGACGGACGCCGCTGTCGCTGCCGCTGCTTTGGCCGCTGCTGCTATCGGTCGCAACTGGCACGGCCACAGACGTTCGCCGGCAACGTTGAGGGGTGATAGAGATACAGATACAGCTCCGAAGCGAGTGCGAGCAAGACAGCGATAAAGCTGGCAATTCCAACTCCTGTTACTGCTCTGCGCGCTCTGCTTCGTTCTGTTCCGTTCCTGCCATACGAGTTTATACTTGGTTAACGTCCACAGCTGCATCCTTTTGTGGTGTGTTTCGCGCTGCTTCTTTTCGACAGCACACAGCACACCCTCTTGCTGTTGCCGACGACGCCACTGCACGGCTCGGGAACTGGCAAAGCAAAGGCAACGACACGACAGAGCAAAGCAAAGGCATAGCACAGAGCAGTCGAAAGCAGAGCCAGAAACTGCTGGCTATAGAGTGTTTGGATGACTGCCTCGCTGTGGACGAAACGAAAGACAGGCGGCAACTAAACTAAAACTAAATACATGCAGGCAAGCACAGGCAAGCGGCGGTCGCATAAAGCATAAAGAGGTGAGTAGTAAGTCGGTGGACGGCAACGTCCCGACGGAAAATTACATTCTCTGGGTTTCTGGTCTCTAGCATGGCCTGTCCAAAACCAAACCAAACCAAAGCAAGCAAAGCAACCAAAGCAACCTATACGACCCGATCGACTCCGACTGCGGCAGCCTCAATCTCAATCTGAAGCTGAATGATATGTTTTAGTTGTTTTGCGTGGCGTGTGTAAGTGTGTGTGCTTGTGCAGTTTTTATTCAATTTCTGACAGTGGGAGAAAAGCGGTTCTCTGTTGTGAAAAGAAAAGGAATACGTCTAGAAATCATTTTTATTCTTGCCTCGCGTTCGTATTTTCGATTTTCAAAATGTATGGAAAAAGAAATTTTTTGTTGCCTTCGTATTTGCATTTGTGTGTTGCTGCTGCTGCCTCTGTATATAACCGTGTGTTTGTGTGTGTCTGTTTTTTTGTATGTTCGAGCTGCTCTCTCTGGGTGTGCAAGAGCTTATAGTTGTGTGTGTGCTTGTTTGTGTATTTGCGAGTGTGTGTCTCTGTGTTGAAGTGTGTGCGTGTGGCGGACCAAAAAGAACCCGACGACGACGGCTGAGAGCAAAATTCGATTTGTGCATGGAGGAAAAAGACGAGAAAGAATTTTAGCGAATAGAGTACCATTATCGAATTGAGTAAATAAAACAAATAATTTCAGAAGCAGCAACAGAACAACAGCTGCAGCCAACAGTAGTCGTAGCATTAACAGTAATTCATCGAAAACAATCAAAGCGGCGGCGGCGTGCATATGTAACCGTAACTGTAAAGCTAATTGTGTGCCTTTCTTCTTCTTTCTCTCCCCGCTTGTGTTTCTTCTTCTACATTTCGCCGGCGACGACAACACCACCGATAAAATAGCAGTACATTGACACACCATCAAGCAGTAGAAGATAGGGGAAACCTACATCTGTATATATTTCATACATATATACATACAGACACACATTCATCGAAATATACAAGTTCAGGCTAAAAGGAGGCTGCTCTCCTCTCCAAACACCATCCTTTGCATCCGCATCCGCATTTGCATCAAACCCAAAAACGATAAAAGATGGCCAACGGCAAGGCGACGGTGTCGTTCTTCGAGAACGGGAGCACCACACAGTTCGAGTACTGCTTCAAGCTGTATCCGCAGGTGCTCAAAATGAAGGCAGAGAAGCGGTCGAAGAAGCCGCAGGAGCTGATCCGACTAGACCAGTGGTACCAGAACGATTTGCCGCGCCTGATCAAGGCACGGGGAAAGGACGCTCACATGGTGTACGATGAGCTGGTGCAGACCATGAAGTGGAAGCAGTCTCGCGGAAAGTTCTATCCGCAGCTCTCGTACCTGGTCAAGGTGAACACACCGCGCGCCGTCATGCAGGAGACAAAGAAGGCCTTCCGCAAGTTGCCCAACCTGGAGCAGGCAATTACAGCTTTATCGAATCTAAAGGGCGTCGGCACAACGATGGCCTCCGCCCTGCTGGCGGCCGCCGCACCCGATCGCGCTCCCTTCATGGCCGATGAGTGCTTGATGGCCATACCAGAGATCGAGGGCATTGACTACACCACCAAGGAGTACCTCAACTTTGTGAACCACATCCAGTCCACGGTGGAGCGCCTGAATGCCGAGGTGGGTGGTGAGACGCCGCACTGGTCTCCGCACCGCGTCGAGCTGGCCCTTTGGTCACACTACGTGGCCAACGACTTGAGCCCCGAGATGCTTGACGACATGCCACCCCCAGGCACCGCATCTATCAGCACAAATGGCGCAAGCAACAATGTCCTCGACGGCGACGACACCAACGATGGTGTGGCCGTGGATCTTGACGACGAGAGCCAAGGCGCAGGTAAGCTCATCTCCCCATCAAATGTTCCGTCTTTCTTTTGTGTACGATGTTAATTGTGGTCTCCTCCACATCCACAGGTGGGCGCAACACTGCAACAGAGTCGGAGACCGAGAATGAGAATACCAATCCGGCCGCTTTAACGCCGCTAGATGTGGGCGAGGCCAAGAGCAATGCCACTGCCGTGGGAGCCGCCCTGCAGGATGGCGACTCGAACTTTGTGTCGAACGATTCAACCTCCCAGGAGCCGATCATCGATGACAACGATGGAACCACACAGACAACGGCCACCACATCCACAGAAGACGGTGAACCAATTGGGATCGGAATTGGCCTGGTCAGCGGTGGCACACCTCTGGCCTCCGACTCAGAAAGCAACCTCGAGGCGCCTCTAAACACCAATCGCTTGAATGCGGTCGGTCCAGTGCAGCCGAGCAAACCACAGACCCAGCCTTCGACCCAGAACCAGACACAGAGCCCGACCCACAACAACAGCAAGCAGCAGATCAACAATGGTCAAGCGACTCCAGCGGAACAGCCGCCAGCAAAGGGAGGACCGGCAACGGCCGCTGCCAACGGCAATGGTAATGGCAATGGAGTGTTGGGGGTCAACGATCTCGACGATGGCGAGGAGGAAGAAGATGAGGAGGACGAGCTGGACGAGGAGGATAACAACGAGGATGCGGATCTAGAAGCTGATGAGAGCAACAGCAGCAACAGCAATGCGCGCGACAGCAAACTGCAACAGCTGGCGGACTCCGCTGGAGCGGGAAAGGTGGTGGCTACAACAGTCACCGAGACGGTGGCGGCGGCCATCGAGCCGATTAAGGGGGCGGCAACGGAGACGACGTTGTCATCGCCTGCCATTGGACAGAAGCGTACGGCCCTGCACTGTGAGATGGAGTTGAGCAATGTGCCAGCCGGGGCAGTGGATGGCGGTGACAAGTCGCCGGAGCTGAAGAAGCTGCGCAGCGAATGAGTTGGGAGCAGGAATCAACGGTTATCGATCGATCGATCGGTTTGGTTCGCTTCGGATCGGTTCGGTTCGGCTCGCCGCGTATCTGGTGGAAAGACATATGTATGTAGTGCAGTTGAGTCGACCTAGAGACATAGAGCAACATTACCTACACTTTACCACAACAACATTCAAGAAATTCTACTATTAAGCAACTAACTATACATACATATAATATATTATATATATATATACACACCCCACACACAAACAAAAACACATAACGAGAAGCAAACAAAAACCAACACTCACCATACAAACCACACACACTGCACACACCATGCATGATACAACAAACAACAGGACACAACTGGACTAAGGATGCTCGCATCCCGATCCAGCAGAAGACATTTCAATAACAGGAGAAGGCGACTCGGATTCAGATTCAGATACAGATACAGATACAGATTTGGAGCATTGCAGCGTTAAACGTAATATAATGGATTGAAGAGCAAAATACACACACCTTACGTGAATAGTAACTAAAGCGAGATAAGATGATATTTTTACACAGTCGAAATGAACATTTAATTATAAAGAAATTTACAAATGCCGCAGTTGCCCCACAAAACAGAAAACAGAAAACGAAGAAATCATGAACTAAAAAAGTATAAAGAAACAATAATTATAATAAAACAAAAATAATTTATATACTTAGGTATTTAAATTTAACAATAAATCAAAACTGTCGCATGTACACGCATCCCCCCAAACCCCCCCACCCCATCCACTCAGTAGATTTGCACATTCACGCGCTCTCTCTCTCTCCCCCACACACACACATAAACACACAAAAACAAAACAAAAACAAAATCAAAAAGAAAACAAAACAAAAACTCATTTCAACAATAAGAAAAAACATTTTTGTGGTCGTAATTGTAATAATATAATTTATATTTTATGTGTACAACTTTTTTTTTTAACTATACATATACAGATTTTTTATAATTTATGCGATAATCACACACACCCACACACTCTTCATTTGGTTTTGCCCGCAAGGATACGGCTGGCAGGCAGGCGGACAAGCAACGTCAACGTGACGTCAAGCAACAAAATTTAAATTCCTATTTGGCGCTAGGCCCCGACCGTTATCTGGTAACCACGACGCACTCATGCTCTCCTGTATGCGTAGCAGCAAATGCTCAGCTCCCGCCACCTGTGCGTGCTGTGGCTGTGGTTCGGTTCGGTTTCGGACTCCGAAAATCAACATCTCAAAATTATAATCATTTTTATTATTAATAGCATAAGTCCAAATAAATTGTGAAATATTAAGAGAACATCGCATCAGAAAGAAACCATGAATCCAACGAGTTGGATTGTTGTAACAAAGATTGCAGCGGCCCGAGCTCTTTGAATGCTCCTGCGGAGTAGGCAGTGTGGCGCACATGTTTTTTTGAAAAGGCGTTAGGTCGTTGTCAATCGATATCGATTAAAGTCATGCACATTTGAACCAGGGCTGGCAGCGTCGATAATGTACTGACTAGAGATGAGCGTGTAAGTGATTTTTGATTACGGAATATCTGTGACTGAGGGTTAATGATTTGATTTTCTATTAGGAAAACTAAATAATAAGGCTTTTATAAAACTAAAACATACAAAATACGGTAATTAGCTGTTGCATTTCGCCACTAACCAAATAGTATAGTAGATTGTTAATTTCTTGGAAGCGAAACGTCACCCCTGAATTTGCGTCTCGAAGTCCCAGGCCTCTGCCAACGTCGCAGCTACAAGTATTAGTGTGTGAAGAACACGCAGCTAGAAGTCCCAGCTACATTTGTATAAGTGCGTGTAGAGCACGCAGCCAGAAGTCCCAGCTACATTTGTATAAGTGCGTGTATCCAATGATTTTTTAGCGCTCCAAACCGGGTTTGTCTTGATTCACACGGATACTGCAAGTAATGTATGTGTTGGTGCGCTGACTTTCTGAAGTGCGATGGAACGAAAATTCGTTTTGATGATGCGAAATATAGCTTGACAAAATTGGCAATTAACAAAAAGAAGTCTACCGGAAGCAGTGACTGGTAACTTAAGAATTCCAGGGATTGCTACCAGGGAACTCAAATTTGTGCCTTTGGGTACCCTTGGGGAGAAGGATATCCTCGAATTGAGGAAATGATGAAAATCTCAGGACAATCAATGCGAAAACAAGTCAATCAGTGTTAGAGATCTATTTCAACGAAATTTTGCAGAATATAGATATCGAAAATGTTAATAAAAAGCATGTAAACCTAAGATAATGTTATTGTTAAGTATTAAAAGCAGTTGATTAAATGGATTTATATTGTTAAATATAGCAAATACATTTTTTTGGTTGACCTTTTTAGTTTTAACCTTATAATGCAATCAATTGAGGAAAGATGTATCATAAAATCAGCAAATCCTGCGGAGAATTAAAAGATGATTTGAGTAAAACTACATTTCTAAAGCTGAGAGTCCTAACCAGGTGGTAATATTAAATTGAACATCAAAATCGAGGAAAATGATTTTAGATTCACGATATATTTTACGGTATATTTTGAATATCAAAAAGTATATTTCGGTATATTTTCGAGGCCCTCACGGTATATTTGATCGATAATTCCGCGGTCACACTGCTGAAGGAGACAAAAAAAAAACAACACACGGAAACATATACAATTGTATGTGAGTAATTTAGCACATTTTCGCTAGTGCCACGACTGCCGACGATCGGGACACCACTGGTCCCGCTCCCCGCTACACGCCATCAACAAAGGCTGGAGCAGCAGCCATAATATATGATAATTGGAGCCAGAGCCAAAGCCACTGGCATGGCAGTGTAGTGTAGCGTAACATTTGCCACTAGGCCGCCCCCGTAAATTGACTTGTGGCTTGACATTTTCAGTGCTGCTGCGGATGAAGCGGACTGTGAACTGTGATTGAACAGTGGCCAGTGGCCGGGAGAAATGCAGCTGTGACTATGCGACAACAAACGATCTCACCAGAAGATCCAACTACCACCAGCACCAACCCCAGCAGCAGCGCTAGCTAAAAATTAAGGCTCTACTCCGCTTAGCCGAGCAGCAGTGCGTGTGCATCGGGTCACAGATAGGCGGCACACGTCCAGCCAACTAATCAACGTAGCAACCAACCAACCAACAAGAAGCGGCTGAGCAGAACCAACCAATGTTGCTAGTGCGGCAGCTGTTTGGCGCATCGGCAAACTCATGGGTGCGAGCCCTTGTCATCTTTGTGCTGGCCTGGGTGGCACTCGTCTACGTGTTCGTGGTGAAGCTGACCAGCACACAGAGCCAGCAGGCGACGGGAGAGAACGAGATCAGTGCGCGCCGCATCACCCAGGCCCTGCAGCTGCTCGAGCACACGAAGCAGCGCAACGCGGAGCTCAAGCAGCTTATTGATGAGTTGATGAGGTACGGCTTACATCCCGCTCAACCCACCAGCCACCAGATAGCAGCCACAATCCGGTCATGCGGCATTCATATGCTGATTAGACTGACAATTGGCGCACCGCGTTCTGGCTTTGCTCTCTGGCTTTGCTCTCTGGCTGGCTGGCGGTTAATTATGCATGGCACGGCTTTGCGCACTCACTCCTCTCCTCTCCTCTGCTCTATTTCAGCGACCAACTGGACAAACAGAGCGCCCTGAAGCTAGTACAAAAGTTGGAGAACGATCCACTGAACCCAAAGCAGGGGCTGGAGAGTCTGGGGGCGGAGCCCGAGGGGTTCTTTGATTCTGCACCGGCAGATCTGAGGGGTTGGAACAATGGCGAAGGTGGAAACGATCCGCAGGCAGATCTCTTGGCAGGTGACGATCTGGTGCATGGCGAACCCAGTCTGGAGTACGAGTTTACGAGGCGACGCATCCAGACGAACATTGGGGAGATCTGGAACTACTTCAGCAGCGAGCTGGCGAAGATCAGCAAGGTGGTGGCCAGCAAGGGGCACAAAGAGTTGGAGGAGTCCATCAGCCAGGTGCTGGTGCAGGGTGCAGAGCACAAGCGATCGCTCCTCAGCGACATGGAGCACATGCGTCGCTCGGACGGCTACGAGACCTGGCGCCACAAGGAGGCCAGAGACTTGAGCGACTTGGTACAGCGGCGTCTCAACCACCTGCAGAATCCCAGCGACTGTCAAAATGCTCGCAAGCTGGTCTGCAAGCTCAACAAGGTGAGAAGATTTCGCTGCCCATTCTTCCAGTTCACTAATCGCATCTCTGTGTGTCCCTAGGGCTGTGGCTATGGCTGTCAGCTTCACCATGTGGTTTACTGCTTTATTGTTGCGTATGCCACGGAGCGCACCATGATCCTCAAGTCGCGTGGCTGGCGCTATCACAAGGGTGGCTGGGAGGAGGTTTTCCAGCCGATCTCGAAGGGTTGCCACATCGCGGGCACCGCCAATGCCTACAACTGGCCGGGCAAGCCCAATACTCAGGTCCTGGTGCTGCCGATCATTGACTCGCTGATGCCGCGACCGCCGTACCTGCCGTTGGCCGTGCCCGAGGATCTGGCGCCGCGTCTCAAGCGACTGCACGGTGATCCCATTGTCTGGTGGGTGGGCCAGTTCCTGAAGTACCTTCTGCGACCGCAACAGCCGACGCGCGAATTCCTCTTCGCCGGCATGCGAAACCTGGGCTTTGAGCGTCCCATTGTGGGGTAAGTCGTTTTCCCCCTGCAATCTCTCTACTGATCAATTGTTTTTGTTGATGTTGCAGCGTTCATGTGCGTCGCACGGATAAGGTGGGTACGGAGGCGGCATGCCATAGCATCGGGGAGTACATGACTCATGTGGAGGACTACTACCGAACGCTGGAGATCAACGGGAGCAGCGTGGTGCGACGCGTCTTTCTAGCCTCGGACGATGCCAACGTCATCGAAGAGGCACGCGAAAAGTATCCGCACTATCAGATCATCGGTGATCCAGAGGTGGCTCGCATGGCGTCCGTCTCCACGCGCTACACGGACACAGCTCTCAACGGGATCATACTGGACATCCATCTGCTGTCCATGTCCGACCATCTGGTGTGCACCTTCTCCTCGCAAGTCTGCCGCACGGCGTACGAGATCATGCAGACCATGTACCCGGATGCCTCGCATCGCTTCAAATCGCTGGACGACATCTACTATTACGGCGGTCAGAATGCTCACAATCGTCGTGTGGTCATCGCCCACAGTCCGCGCACCCACGAGGATCTTCAGCTGCGTGTCGACGATCTAGTATCGGTGGCTGGCAATCACTGGGACGGCAACTCCAAGGGCAAGAACACGCGCACCAATCAGGTCGGTCTCTTTCCCTCCTTCAAGGTGGAGGAGAAAATTGATACCGCCAAGCTGCCCCTATATCCGGGTATCTAGTTCCAGTTAAAGTTACAAATCCCAACGCATCTTCAACCATCGACCAGTGGCAAATGTTGTTGACTAACGTTTTGTGCCACCGATCGCCAGTTGTTCCCCAATTAGGTTTACTTTTTGGAGAATCTCTTCTGCCGCATTCCGACCTGGAAGCTGTGGTGCTGCAAGTTCAAGTTCAAATTTAGATACAGAATCTATGGAATGTGGAATCTCGTAATGTGGAGTGTGGAATCTCCAGTCCGATTGCTCTCTCAATGCACACACACACACATACACACACATACACACATATACACACACAACACACACAACACACACTGTCTCCTCACTTGACCTTGGTGTATGTTCCCGCTAGGTTCCTGTTGCACTCACACCGTTGGTGCGCACTCACTTATCTCGATTCTTATTTAATTCTGCATTTTTTGTAAAGCCTTTTATTATTATATTATAAGTCGAAGCCGAAGAAATTATGATGACAAGATTGTAAAAGTCCTTTTTTATTACATTGTAAATCGTAGCCGAAGAAACATTGATGACAAGCAAAAACCCATAAATACTTATACATATATAAAAAAATTATATATATAAATAGGAGCAGTGCAGTGCATGTAGGGTTCAGTAAGCGCAATATAGTGTAACCTCTGTAAAATAAAACAAAAACACAGTCTACGTAAACACAATCGTCAATAGAACAAACAAAAAAGTAATAAATAGTAAAGTTTTAAAAAGAACCCAATCACACGCATTCAGAACTACTTACGCTCTTTCTGTCTTGGATCAGCTGCCTGGATCAGTGCTGTTGCGTATCAATCATCCGTATGCAGACTATTTTGTTGACATTGGTGAATTTATTTAATCCTTCTCTTTGCGCTTAAAATGCTACATTGGTGGAATGTCCCTTTGTAGTTCCATGATTAAGCTACAAAGATATCGCACAATCACTTTTAAATGAGAAATAGCTTAAATAGAGCAAAGAGAACGCACCACACACACACACACACACACACTCAAATGGATTATGTCTCGCGCGAGAGAATTACTTGAATTACAGTGGGATCGATCATGTCATTCACCTATTGATTTTTTAGTGCTTACTTTTGATTTGCACGTTATTTAGTTTGGTTTTTGTGTGATTGTGTGGGGGGTTTGAGTTCAAGAACCTAACCCAACGACGCCGGTGAAAGTGTCAATTGCTGTTGCGTGCACTCTCGATGAGTCAACTGACACCGCCAATCACTCCCCTGCCCAGAGTTCGATACGATCGCGACCCAACAACACCAACAGCAACAACAAGTTGAAAGCCGCTGGAATGGAATTCCACACCAAGACAAGACGAATCAGCAAGAAAACAAACACAAAAAAACCCCAAAAAGAAGATCAGCAAAACGGAAAGAGGGAGACAGAAGAGTATACAACAAAAAATGAGAAACGTGATAAGCTGGTAGCGGTAATAATACAAAAAGCCAATGAATACATTAAAAACAAATCAAAGCAGTGCATATGATTGTGTGTACATATGTGTGCGAGTAATATAATTAAGTACTCAATGAACCGCAGGGAAGTCGTCGGTCGCTCCAAATGAAAACATTTCGACTAGACGGATACCCGGCACTTTAATCTATTTCCTGTTCCATTTGGAACTCCAATAAATTAAAAGGAACAACCACTGCTTGGACACGACAAATACGTTTATGTTGGTGTATGGCAAAGATTTGTTTCGATTTTTGTTCCTTTCATGTAGTGGATATCCAACAAAGATGCTCGGCCACTTTCGAACGAGCACAACATACCCTCTCTGCGCTCTGCGTTTAGCGGGTAAAACCAAAGCTGCCAAACGGGCAGCTGCCTGCTCGGTAAACCGGCATCTGGGGCCTGGGCAAGGAGCGAGCTTTAGCTGGCGTCGGACAAGGTCACGTCGCTGGCTCCGCTCAGCTGACATCTCGATAAGCCGCCGTGATAACGGGCAGCGGCGCCGTTTTGGGTGCGTATAAAACATTGCCGTTGGCGCTGAACCGACAACACTTGCGGACCTCGATCCTCGCTGACAAGAGCATCCACGCAGAGCAGCCCAACTTTCGAATCAGCCATCAGAATGTCTCACTTTATCGCCACATTCCTCCTGTGCTGCGCCGCCGTTATCCTGGGCAGCCAGCTGGCCCAAGCGGCCATTGCTCGGGCTGACTTCAGCAATCCCAGTGAGTACAAAAGGATCAGGATCAGTAAGAAGCCATTCGGTTTACAATTCTCGTTTCGCTTTTCCATTGTAGCCTATCCGGGAAAGTGTGTGTTGGACTCGAACACGGTGATGTCGCCAGGGCAGAAGGGAAAGGCACCCAACCATCCATGCGCTGGCGTCACCTGCATGGAGGGCGGCCACGTCGTCTTCCAGACTTGTGCTCCCAAGGCGCCACCAAAGGGCTGCAAGCAGCGCGACTTTGTCAACACAAATCGCCATTATCCTGAATGCTGTGAGCGTTCCTACGACTGCACCAAGCACATCTAAGCAGTGCGGACTCACTCCCCCCCGTCCACTGTGTTGCGTTGCGTAGCGTTTCTCATCGTGTTTTTTTTTTTTTGTGTTTTTTTGTTAATTTATTGTGTATTCTACAACATAACAGTTAAAATGTAAACGCTTAGCAGTACAATTAAATAATTTAATAGAATCATTAACAGAGAATACATGTGTATGTATGTATATTTGTGGGCGTGCATAGGCAATGGCTAATGCGACAAAGACCTGCCAACGGTTCTAGTTTCCTCCTGCTCTCGTCCTACTCATCCACCTCCTTCTATGCCAGAGATGCACTGCTTGATGCTTCAGAGAGGTACAGAGAGAGAGAGAGAGAGATGGAGAGAAAAAAACGCCAAAAAAAATCTAAAGCTCAAATCAGAGCTTATCCTATGTACATGTATATGTGTGTGTGATTGAGTGTGCGTGTGCGAAGAGACATGAACCGTTGCGGCGTATTTAGTTGATTTGATTTGGTGTTTGTTTTTTTTCCTTGCCTATAAATCTCCTTCCTCTCTGATGCTTAGTGGGTTACTAAGCATTTAGTGATTCGTTTGCTGGTGTGCGTGTTTGTCTTCTCCTCTGCCTCTGCCTCTGGCTCCTCCTTCTATCGACTGAGATTGTTGATGTAGAGTGCGTGCAGCTCGGTGCGCGGAGTATTCTCAAAGAGAGCGGCGCGGTTCTGGCCCTCGCCCTTCTTAACCCAATGACCGTAAACACGGAAGGCGCACCCATCGATAACCTGCAGAAGAGAGATATTAAGAAAATGAGTTGAATAAGTGTTCAGTTGAATGTTAAATTGGCAGGCAGAATACTCACCTTGCGCAGCACCTTGACGCGATAGGGATCGCGTATGGCCTCCTCAACGTGCAGCGGCTCGGCGGTGAACCGCAGTCGGCGTATCCTAATGACAGCGCGTATCACTAATATGGCGAATTGGAACTTTTTGCGCGCATTGAAGCGGCTCTGTTTGCGAAGCTATAGGTGGAATTTGGGAGAAAGAGAGAGAAGAACAAAGTTGGGATTAGATTTCACTCCACAGGATGTGCCCAACCCCTCAGCGGGGAAAGGGTTTTGTTGGTGGTGGTGGTGGTAGTAGTAGTAGTAGATCGATCTCTTTGTGGCTTTCGTGTTGTTTTAGTGCACACGTCGTTAGGGTTAGGTTCGGTTAAGGATTAATGATTACTGTTGAATGGCGTTAGTTCTTGTTTGCTTTTTCTAAATTATTTTGTTTGGCGTTACAACGTGGAACAATACATAAGCGAGACGGCACATGTGCATCAGCTCAGACGCAAAGGAATCGAACAGATCAAATTTTGGACTCTCTTTTTTAAGCTATAACTTTGCAGATAGTTTATTTTAGTTAATCGATCGAATAACTGCAAGGATATCTAATATTCGGCACGCCGAAGCCAGCAACAATACACCACAAGGTGCGGAAAATACAGTTTCCCGTTTAAACGGATTATTTTGTAGGGTGGGAATCGGGTTATTTCTATCTGAAATTGTGGTATTCAGTGGGTAGCAATAAAGAGCTATCTGATTTGAGTGATAATCGCATGCTGTGAGAGGGGTAGAAAGCCTAGAACTCAATTTTGCGCGTCTCAGTGTTTAATGAGCGGATTACTGTTAAATACCGTTAGCATTAGTGAGCTTCAGGGGAGGAAAGCAAAAGCAACGCATAAAAATACATACATATGTACATAGATCAAAGTAAATCAGTGGGTGGAATAGACAGAGAGAGGAAGGAGAGAGAGGGAGGAGAGAGGTGGGGAGTGAGTGGTAGGGAGGGAGAGAGGGCCGTGTTATTGTGTAGAGACGAAAACAACCGATACCGAGCCAAAGCTTAAGTCGGAGGACAGCGACATTGACAATTTAAGGATTACGATCGACTATGTGCGGGATTATTCAGATATATGTATGTACATACACAGGTGTAAAGACATCTGTATGCATGTATGCAGTAGGTAGGTAAGTATTTGTATGTGTATATGAGATACTATATAGGTTTGAGTGGATGTACTGTATGCAACGGTAACTGTATTCTATCGCAGTTTTTCTTTGGTCTACTCACAATGGAGTCGCCACAACACCGCCTTATAGACACACATGGTATAAGGGCGTTGAGACTCTGACAATATTGAGAACATGACACACAAAACACAAACGTGTACAACATCACACCAACAGAGGAGAAATTAAACAGAATAAATCGTCAGTGAATCGATTTTGGCGTCAAATTAAAATAAATATAAATGTATATGTATGTATGAAGATATGTAGGATTATATATGTATGTAAATAAGTAGATACATGCAAATTAAAATAGTTTTTATTTGTTTTTCCTGCTTCCACTATGGCAACATTCACACGAAAGATAGAAGGCGATATTCCAGGGGTCTTGTGGGATTAGTGACACATTATCTGCTAGGTACTAGATACTACTAAATCTACGAGAACGACTACAAAGCAGTTCAACTACATACAGTTCCTGCAAGTATATCATCCAGTTCACCCGACAGGATTTGTGCTACAGAAAGGTGCATATAATACAAATATGTTTGTGTTTACTCGCTACGATACCACTAAGTGCCAGCTATAAAAAGATACAATAAGAATCGTAGTACATGTACATAATGCATAGAAGGCTCAACGAAAGTACTTTAGCTTAAGAAAGGTGAGTGAGTTGGTGAGTGATGGATTTCGTGATGAAGTGAGGAGGAAGAGAAGCAGTGGACGCGGGTGGGGCTCTCAAACGAGTTGGCACGTCGTGCTAAAGCTTTTGAGCGTCTCACTATCCCGTACGAAATCGGCATGGGATAGCGAACGGCCACCACCGAATACACCAATACCGGCTGAAAAGAGCGAATGAGAGAGAATGCAACTAGTGTGGTATGATCTGCAGTCTCTCTGCTGTGTGTGTGGAGAGAGAGCACATGGCAGCATCCTCTGTATTGAATGAGGGAATGAGTGGATGCGCTTATGAAAAAATCAACTAAAAATCATTTAAAACTAAAAAAAAAATGAATAAATAATATAACTAAATCATAGATACGTGTGGGTGTGTGGCAACTAAATACGTAAGAAACAATTTGAAAAGGAAAGCAAAAGAAAATCAATGGAAAAACCTGCCTGCACTTGTGCATGCAATAAATGCTGCTGCTGCGCGGCACTTTCATAATTATTGCCGGCATTTGCCCGCGCCGTCTGCTGATGCTGCTGCTGGTAGTGCTGCTGTTGGTGCTGCTGCTGTTGCTGCGGCTGCTGCTGATAGTAGACCGTTGCCGTTAGGGTCTTGTAACTGTTCGCAGAGGTACACGGCGAGGTGGGGTCATCCAGGTCGGGGGGCGGCAGCACATCCCTCAATCGATTCGATGAATACGAGCTCTGGGGCGCACTGTAGTAGAGGTAGGAGGAGCCGCAGGGATTGGGGCCGCCGCCACCGCCACCATTGCTATTGATTCGGTCATAGCGGAACGCAGCGGGAGCGGCATTGTCATTGTTGCCACTGACGCTGGCAGACGCTGCAGAAGCAGCACTATTCTGGTATCTGCCCGGGGCATAGGCAGACGTGGGCGATGGTCGCGCCGTGGTCAGATCACCCATCAGAACCTGGTGTTCGTGCGGGATCGGGGTTTTATTTTTGTTTTGTTTGTGGTGTGGCAAAAACAAAAACGAGGCAAACGAGGAATGTGTGTGACGGAGCGAAAGAAATCAAAATTTGTGTAATCAGTTAGGAGTACAAAATAAATTAAACAGCAACAAAAACAACAAAAGAAAACAAAAAAATATAAAATTACTTATGCTTAGACTAAATGTAACTTGAGCTCGACGTAACCTCTAATTATTTAACCTTTCTTACAGCTAAATACATTCATATGTAGATATACATATTCATATGCATCCCAACCCTTAATAAATACACCTTGCTACGATTCCCCCTAACTGCAATCAGATGCACCTCCCCTCTAACACTTCTGCATGTGCGATGTACCTGCTGTACCACTAGCCTTTTGGCGTTTGGTTTTGTCTGTTTTCTCTTTCTTTCACGCACGCATGCAGTGGTGTGGCTCAACCATGGTGTGGGCGGGACATGCATACACAGAACGTACGGTACATGGTTTGGGAGGGGGGTTTATGTGGGGAGAGCAAGAGATCAATAGAGAGCGAGAGAGGATTTGGGATTGTTATCATCAAAGAGCATCGCGTAATCAGCAAGCAAAAAAAAAGCATACCAAATACGCTTTTTTCTTTCCTTTTTTGGTTGTTGTTGTTGTACTCCTTGTGTGTGGTTGGTTGGGGATGGGGATAGTGTTATATGTACGTGTGTTACATTTGTACATTGATTGTAGGTTGTAGTTAGGTTATGCTGGCACATGACATGATGGACGCAGAGATCGCGCTTGGAGAGAGCATTATAGTAGGTACATATGTACTATTATGTAGATTAGATCAGAACAGACAAGAACATAACAGAACAGAATGCAGCGAACAGAACAGAACACACACACATACAAGAGCGCGCGCGCGCGCTCACAGACTGCAACAGCAACAGAATGGGGTGGGGGATTGGGTGGATTGCTGCTGCAGTCGCTCATCTGAGTGGGATTTGTTGGGATTGTGGTTGGTTTGTTGTTATTATTGCGATTCGATACATGGAATACACACAGAGACAAGGAGAGCGAAACAGACAGAGACAGACAGAGAGAAAGAGAGAGAGGGATAGAGATTGACGGATCGAGGAGATGGGTTGGGTTAGTCCGGGAGCATTTCGTTACCAGTGCAATTTCGGTGATGCGACTCATTCTTCTGGACTTGGTCGACAGGCTGCGCTTGAGGCCATCAATGTTTTGCTCGAACAGCTTTCGAAGTTGAATTTCGAATTTGGGGGGTTGATCGTTTATCGAGAAAAGTGATCGGAACAAGTGATTGTCGATACAATCGTTCGATTCGTGTTTTGTTTTTGTTTAAATTAATTTTAAAACGTATATGCAAGGAAAAGAAGAGAGAAAATGTATTGTATAATAATAGTAAAATTAAAAATTAAACAAACATAAATTAAAAATAAATAATCAAATTATAATAATACATATAGACGTAATATGCTTAACCAAGAGGTGGAAATGTGAAAAGATAATAACTTGACATGTCCCCAGGGACACTCCCGAGAGTTTTGGATAAGCTTTGCTTTTGGGTTTGGGTTGGGGTGAGTCACAGGTGGGTTTTGTGTGCGCGAGCATGAATAAGTTTAGAGACAGGTTGAGGTGGGAGCTAGACCTTAGGGGAGGGAGCCTGTCAACTAGATTCTATATACATAGCCCAGGATGATCCACGTGGAATCGGACGCGACTCGAGTGCAGATTCTCTGCATCTGCTTCTCGGTGATGGTGCCCGAATTTGTTGTAGGAATGGACACTGTGGCCCTGCGGCATCCAGTGGCGCCGACACTTACCATTTGGTTAAAGAATGGATGTCTTAATACTTCCGTGACGGTGATACGTTGCGCAGGATCAACGACTAGACATTTGCGTATCAGATCTTTGGGATCCTCTGCAATAAACCATTCCAACAATGAGCGCTGAACACTTGGCACAATTCGATTTGTCAACTCACCCGAAATATCGGCCCACTCCGGCGAAGTGAAGCTGTATTTTCCCTCCATTATGTTGCGCAGCATCACCATCTGTTTGCGGTGCCAGAAGGGTGGACAGCCGACGAGCAGCGTAAACATGATCACGCCACAGGCCCAACTGCAATGGCAAAGTTAAATGTGGACATCGATTAAAGAATAATAGAAATGGGGGGGAACGATGCCAACGTACATGTCCACTTCCTGGGAATATCCGGGAGAGCCCTCGAACATGTTGCACTTGAGCGTCTCCGGTGCCAGGTAGCCAGGCGTGCCGCACAGATCTGAAATCGGAAAAAGCGAGGAAATACTTTAGCCACTTGAAGACATGGAGGGGCGAGTGGTGTGGCGTGTAACCTGTAAGTTTCTCGCCCTCCTGCAGCTGTCGGGCGAAGCCAAAGTCCGTGATCTTCACATTGTGATTCTCGTCTAGCAGAATGTTCTCCGGCTTGAGGTCGCGATGCACAATGCTCTTGGCATGGATGTATTCAACGCCCTCGAATATCTGTCGCATAATGGTGCGCGTCTTCTTCTCGGAGAGCGTCACCACCGAGGTCAGATAGTCAAAGAGCTCGCCTTTGGGGCACAGCTCAAATACGAGGAAAACAAATGCATCTGACTCAAACACGTCCTGCAGATCGACTGTAAATGAAATGGAATATGGATTAGCTGAGGAGCACAACACTCTTATATGGATGCTACAAACTCACTTATGTAGGGATGTCCCATGACCTGGCGCAATATTGAGATTTCCTGTCGGGTTGCTTCGAGCATATGATATGGATTCGTTTCACCCGCCTCAGTTGTGGCGCCCAGGTCTATGATCTTCGCCGCAAACTCTTTGCCCGTCTCCTTCTCAATGCAACGGCGCACCGTGGAACTGATGCCCCTGCAAAGGCAAACAACAAAGAAAGAACAGATAAGAGGCTTGCATCAGCGTTAGTTGGATCCAAACCACTCGCTTTTGTCATGCATGATCTGTAATATTTATCTAAGTGCAGACCTTATCGCCGCCCCTTGTAATTGCCCTTGTTATTCGCAACAACTATTTGAACAGTCTCCGCTTCAGTGTGTCTGCCTGCCTGCCTGTGTAACTTCAAGTTCAATCCAAGGGTGTTTCGGCACATGCAGTGTGGATATTTATTGTAGAGCCGGAAGACAGGCGCCGTCAGCCCATTCCATACTTTACACTCTTGACTCGGGCAGAAGACGAAGCAGAATCAGCAGAAGCGACAGAAGTGTGCATGACTCATGGACATAATTAACCAGAGTTATACGTAAACAGGGCTTGCACTTCTGCAAGCTTAGCAATAACCAAAAAAGAAAAGATAACCGAAAGCCACAGTGGGACAGGCCGACCGACAGACAAGCAAAGGGAGAAACTGATTCACATCCATGGATAAGGACTAGCATTGACCTGATTTCCCCACTTACCTGCCCAGGATCTCTTTGGGCTCATATTTGGCATAGAAGCCTTTGGCTGCATCCTTGTCGGGCAGCAGATCATCCTCCTCATCCTTGGCCATTAGATCCAGTGAAATTTTGTCGGTGTTTTGTCGGCCTCTGACCTGCCTCCTCGCTTACTCTCAAGCGGTGATCCTCAAGCGGAAGTATCTGAAAGAGCAAGCCAGAGTTTTACATCGGTCAGGCATAATCTTCATGATCGGGTAGTTACGCTGCTCCGTCGTATGCTGATACAGCTACGGATGGGTCCCGATGCTGGTGCTTGATGCTCGATGCTCGATGCTGTGGCTGATGATGTTGATGAGATCGTTTAAGGCGTTGCTATTTTTATACGAACGAACGAGCGAGCGAACGAATGAATGAACAAGCGAAGATACGGACGCGGACGCGGAGGAGCAGAGCGCTGTAGGAATGAATCTGTAGGACCGGCGGCGGTGACTGCTCGCTCCGCTGTTAAATTTCCTTTTAATTACCGTTGTCCGTAGTTGTTGTTGTGTGCCGTATATCGTATACGACGGTGTGTAGAGCGGTGAGCGGTGGGGAGAACGCTACTTCGCTTAGCTTTCGTGTAAGAAGCACAGCACTCTCTCCCGCTTTGACTTTGACTCCGCTCTCTATCTAGCTCTCTCTGTGACGCTTGCTCTGGATGTCTGTCTCTCTCTCACTAGTTGCGATATTTGGTCTCTGCTGGTTGCGGCTGCGGCTGCGGCTACTGCTGCTGCTCTCAGCTGTTGCGGCTACGGCTCGGCTGCGGCTGATTGAATTAATAACGGATGCCAACTACAACAAATCGATTTATATAAAAAAATGAGAATAGCAGCGACAACGAATTAAATAAAATAATAGAATTTGCCCGTTGGTTCTTGCTCTCAGATTCCTATGAATGATTGATTACACAACTGCAGCAACATTTAACAGATTTTGAACAGTTTGTCCTTCTAAAGGAGTGGCTTGTTGGCTTGTTGCTGTATCCAAGCCAAAACCTGTGTCGTGAGCCGCCACGGTGTTCGTTCTCGTAGAGGGGGGTGTGGGTCGAAGCGTTTGTTGATGAAATACGGGGATCTAGCATTTCATCATATAGGAGTTGTGTTTTAGTCACCCACACACGCACGTTAATGGAGAGGAGGAGAAATGCATCAGTTTCGATGCTGCTCTCGTTTCTATCCTCTTTTTCAAACACATACAGCGCACACACATGAGCACGGAACAGACACACAAACACGCATACACACGAGAACCACCGTGTCCATCCGCCAAGCGGGTACATTTCAATGTCAACTAAGGTTAAAAGCAATACAGTTTTCGACGGAGTTTGTGGCTGCCCAGCACATATACATACACGTGTGGCCGCACGACAGGTTGGTCGCATGCAACGGCGTTCCGGACATAACTCCGACGTTGATATTGGCGTATAAATTGCAATAAAAAAAAAAACAATATTTTCGACACAATTTCCACTGTAGAGCAGTGTGACCGCGGAATTTATTGATAAAATATACCGGCAGACTCTCAAAAATATACCCTTGCATTTTCAAAATATACTGTAAATATACCGTCATCTTAAATACCATTCCACGATTTGATCTTTTTGATATTACCAGCTTGCAAAGACTTTTAGCACTGAAGCAATAATTGAATCCGATTGAAGGATCGATTTGGCTCAAGAACTACTTTTTAATGGATTGTATACTTTGTGACCCTCTATTTTGGAAATTTGTATTTGAATGTATGCATGTATGTAATGTACGTACGTATGTAAATGTACGTACATTATTAAGAGAGACACCATGTATGTTAACTGATAACAATGATAATTATTTAAAAATAGCGCGCGCAACAAAAGAGGAAAATAATTATATTGTTTCCCTGAAAGGGAAATGGAACAAAAGTAAATATTATTATTATCTCGAAGTATTTTCTTCTATATCTATATACATTGGAATTACTCCTTTCTTTTGCTAACTATTCGAATAACCATTCTTATATTTAACCTTATGACCTTTCACCGCCGTGCTCCACATATCCTGATTTTATGCAATGATTATAAATTATAATTATTTATACCTTTTTTTAGCAAATTTGTAAATTTGATCTTTCCTTCCTCTCCTGTACTGATATTTCATTTATATTTATTACTCTTCCTATTCCATAATAAGCAGTTAACTCTCAATTGAAAAAAAAAATAAAATAAATTATACATACATCTGTATATATGTTTTTATATGTTTTTTTGATAATTAGTTTTATTAGATGCCTCATTAGTTGTTCAAATTCCCTTAACAAAGCAAAAGAGCTTTCAAACTTTCTTAACAAAGTTGTATTTGAATTTTTCATAGAAATTAACCCTTGTGGAAGCTATGGAGCTTTGTGTTCAGTATGTAATTATATGTTACATGTATAGACACATGTATGTTAACTTAAAATGTTTGAAAAATACCGCGCTCAACAAAAGAGGAAAAGAAATTCTATTGTTTTTCTGAAAATTGCACAAAGGTAACAGAAGTAAATAATTTAATTGGCTCGGAGTTTTTGGGGGCAGTTCTTCCATCTACACAACATAATTGGGGCCAGAATCCGGTTTCGACATTATCATTCATAATTCATGAATTGAAATTGAAACTAATTGAAACCCGCCACGATTTAAGAGAGCGAAAATGGAAAACAAAAACCTGCGCTGCCAGATAGTTGATTCGGCCAAACCGATTTTGTAATATTACACTCTTTGCAACATTTGCCTAGCAACTTTATTTTTACCGGCAACACTTACCGTTCGTTTAAAGAAATACCGATAGCTTGCAAAAGGGCGCGCGAGTTTGAAAGAAAGTTTTAAATTATAATAAGTCTTGGCTGCTGATGCACCCGAAATGCTCAATCAAATCAATTAGGTACGGATCTTTGGATTTCTTCGTCTGGTAGTCATGCACTCTCTCTTTCACACGCTCTTTCCGGCCAAAAGGTCTCGACGCGACGCGACGCGCTGGGATGCGTTGACAGCGACGTCCGCCGCAGCCGTTTTCGGCTTTTGACCGTTGCGCTCATCACCTGTTACTTTCACTGCGACGAACACGTTTTGTCTTGTTTGCTCGACTGTGCCGCATTCCCCAACCCTACCATGGGACCCACAAGAGTTATTAAAACAGATTTCAGGGCAAACGAAGAAGTGGCAGCGGCAGTCAGCGTCAGCGTCTATTACCCTTCCAATAAATCGCATAAATTAGCTAGTTCTGCAGCAGCAACAGCGACAGCGGAAGCATTGTCACAGCTCTGCTGCTTTCCACTTCCACTTGCTGTCGCTCTCACTTTCATTGCCGTTGTCAAATATTTAATAATTTTTGCTAAAATTTGAATTAAATAGCATGCTGAATGCATAATGATTATCGCCATGCCCACATGTTCCCCTCCCCCAAAACAGAAAAGTGACAGCCAGACGCCAAAAGGCCAGCCCCCAGCAGTGCAGCACTGTGGAATGCAAAGAAAAGAAAAACGAGACGGGGACAGACAGAGACGTCGTGAAGAGGGCGGGAGATGAGGGGGAGACAGACCAAGGTATGCTCAGCAGAAGGTAAGGGAAACCTTGCCCATTCCGTCTCTACATATTTCTGCTGTGGGTACTTTGAAATGTGTACATCCATATGTGTGTTTATGATTCATGTATGAATGTATTTATGTATTTTCCCTCTCCTCTCCGACAGCCTTACCTGATTTGCTCATAGCCAGCCCTGCACTCGAGATTTTGACCAGCAATTGAGATTCAAAATTGGCCTTGCCATACCATTGCGATCCGATTACATAGACAACAAAAACAAACAAACACACACATGCGCATGCATGCAATCCACATGTGTGCATCGATATTCTTTATGGCTATTTGGGTAATTTTTCAATTTCCACAAACATGCACGCACATGCATCATGTGGGAGTGGTAAAGGAAGAGGGGCAGCAGTCGAGAGTGCGCCCAAAAATGCAATTGAGAAAAACCCAAACAAAAATGGACAAACAGTAACAACAAAAGTCAACAGATTCCGCACACACAAACACACATGCACACCAACATGCATGAGTATTTTTGCGCTTACCTGCGGCGGTGCAGAGACGCAGCATCTTTGGCTCTGCACTGAGCGAAATTTGCCTTGATGAGCGGCGGGTGGTTCGGAAATTGAAATTGCTGAACAAATTGAACAATCTTCTTCTCAGTTACACTACGTGCAACAATTATTTTGAAAGCTGCTTTATATTAGGAACACTTGCTAATAGATCTGTTTTGATTTTTTTTTCTGAGAAAGCTTTTGAGCAAAACTGCATATTGCAGTAAAAATGGACAAACATTGATATGCATGTGGCATATAATTTTTAAATATATTCGACAACTGCTTCGCCACACACACAAAATGTAAACAATGCTTTTCCCCCAGTGTACCACAAACACTTCCACTCCACGGCCATAAGGTTGACATTTCACAGAAATATCAATCACATCCAGAAATATCATTTACATTAACAATACAATAGTTACTGGTTTCTTCAACATCAATACGTGGTGGTGTGCGATCTATGGGACATAGGATTTCTATTTTTATGGGTCTCCCTTTACAAGTGGACACCACTGTGGACCACCATTTTCAGTAGACGCCACTGTTCTATCGTCCTACCTTCCTGTCCACCAACGCACGCACACATGCATACATATGTATGTACACATGCATGTACAGCTATAAAAAGAAAAGAATGCTCTCGAGGGAATGAAACCTTTGATACCCTTGAACATTTTAGGTGTTCAGGCATATGTACATATAACTTTCATTCAAAACCAAGAACTGTGTTACTTGATATACATCTGTGTGCAATGCAAACATCTATCCAAATCATCAAGCCCACTGTAAAGGGTAACCAAAAACAACGTTCGTTGCTTGTGTTGTTTGTATTTGCATCCAGCAACATTTACCTGTAGCTCGGCAACATAAAAGTTGCTGAGCAGAGGAGAGATGCGCAAAAATGAGTGGCTAGGTATGCACCATGAGGACAATCGGTTCAGCAACATTTTAAGGCCCTTACCAGCCTCACCTTACCGTGTTTGACCAGCAATCACTTCATGGTATGTTGAAAAACGGGGTGGATTATACAGTGCATGCGTTGCATTTTCTGGGTGGCATTGCTTGCTGTACATACCTTATTTCTCTCCCAGCAACACACGTTTGTTGCCTAGCTACATTTCTAGGCGCGCTCATTTGAAAACGACCTTGCCGGCCCAGAATCCACAACCCAAGCCCCGTTCGTAAAACATTAACAAAACTGTCGCGATCAACGAAGCAACGGCGATCGTGTGTCTTGGGTCTTGGTTAACTTAGCTAACTTGTTTCCGGCGCGAGTGTTAACCAGTGTGTCAGTGTGTGCGCGCGTACCTGTAACCTGTACGAGTGTGTTACCTGCTGCCCCGTTGCTAAATTAATATTTTTTTTCGAACATTTTTTTCTGTGTCGTCGTCGCTGCCGCTGCAAAACTGGTTGCTGGCAGCACAAAAAGAGAAGCAGAATCTAGCTGTGAAAATAAGTAGCAGGAGAAGAACGCAAAGCAGAAGAAGAATAAGAAGGAGAATAAAAAGTGAACAACAGTTGTATATTTGTTCGTCTTTCGGGACTTTGGTTTTTCGGTCTGGAAAATCAAAGGTAACATCCAGTTAACTAGCGAGTAAAACGAAAAGTAACGCATCCAGAATGCCCTGCTCGGCGGTAACACTGTCGATAGCGACGATCTGTGCGATTATCGCCACCGCTCTGCTGGCTATTGCCTTCTCCACGGACAACTGGCTGCACTACGATGTCTGGCGCAATCAGATACAGGTTAGTACCACCAACAACACGAAGACGCCCCCAGCCTCCCAACCCCCCTAGCACAGATCTGCATGGGCGGGGGTCTAAAATATACCAAAACGGTGCATCTCTGGCTGTCTTCTGCCGCAGCGTTACAGTGGGTGAAGTGCATAAGAAACAGTATACAAAAAAAGAGTACTGCTAATGTCTATTCTAGTGGAAGGTTGAAATGAAGCTGCTGCCTAGCGTTCGTTCTCTTTTGCTGAATTCAAAGAGGAAGAGTGCATTGGTTACAGTGGGTGCATTTTACACCAACAAAATATGTGATCTCAGAAATCTACGGCTAATCTCCATTTGTTCCAAGAAGCATATCAATCTCTTGATAATTCAACAATTGTCGTGTACACATCCATACATGTGTACATATTTGCATGGCACACAAGCAATTGTATGCGCGTGTGGCCCACTGTGGCAAGGCAAAGGCAAGAGGAAGGTAAAATCAGAAGCGCAGGCAGCGGGCAGCAGCAAACGGTGGGTAACAGTAACAGTCGCTTCAGCCAAAAGAAAATAAGGGCATGGCGGAGTGTGAGCAAAGAAGAAAGGTCGAAAGCAAACATACCAACAACAACAACGGCAAACTCCCGTCTTTGTGGAGGGGGAGGGAGAGAGGGAATATGGCTA